CCAGGACGGATAACATGTAACCAATGCTGAAAAGCCTTTACTCTATTTCAATCCATTGAGACTTTGCAGCACTTTGAAATCTGTTTTGATTGAAAAAAAAACAATGCAAAATAGTGAATTTTGACAATTTTGAGACGTCACCCAATGCCATGGTACAGGAATTTTAAGATTGATCATACTGTTACCGATACTATGGTCCAGTCAACATTTGTGCCATGTTTCATCAGTATTAAATCATTTTTCATAGTTTCGTAGCAGTTTGAACTTGTAACAGGGGGCTTTTAAATGAAAACGGCCATTTTTCACAATATGCTGATGAAGTAAAGGGTTAAATTAAAAATTGTTATATACATTAATGTAGATCGAACTTTATGTTAAAACAAAACAAAACAGGATAATCTTGAAAAGTGCCAAGAGAATAATTATGATGAATTTATTGTCCAAGGATTAAAACATGGGTTTAAAACATTATCTTATTATGTTGACTAAATTAAATATTAATGAATGTATTCCTATTATTAGGTAATGTGTCAAACGTCGCTGGTATTATTTTGATAATGATGGTTAAAATAATGTCTAGATCATAATGACCACAGCGGATGTGTTTGGTGGTGTTGATGCTTGATTCTTTTAATAGTGCTCCTGCTACCACTAGTCTTGATGGTGGTGGCGGTAGTGGTGGTGGTGGTGCATCTGCATTTTGGTACTGGTGGGGATTGTAGTGCTGCCTTGTGGTGGTGGTGGTGATGGTGCATCTGCTGTATAATACTTTTGATGATTGTGGTGTTGCATTGTGGTGGTGCTTTGTGGTGGTGGTGCTTGTTGGTTGCGCTGCTTAGTGCGGTTCTAAATTGTTGTTGTAGTCATGATGGTGGTTGTGCTGTCTATTGGTGACGGTGTATCTGCTGTTTACTGCTGCTTTGTAGTAGTGGCGCTAGGTAATTGTTTTGCTTAATGCTTTGTAGTGTTGGTGGTGCTAAGTTATGTTGACCAAAAGCTGACGTGTTTTTCACAAGTCACATGTATTACAACATTAACGGAGATAATTAAGTACTACCGCATTGTGTGGTTTAGATCATACAATTAATGGCCCTTTGCATACATGTCAACGCTGTTCCCGATCAGTTATAAATAAAATTGTTTGTATCTGATATTCTTTTTCAGCTTAGTGTTATAAGAAATATAGAAGCCACATTATATCAAGTACAAGTCGGGCTCGACTACTTGATTTCGGTTGAAATTGATGCCAAGTATATATTACCTGGGACACGAGTGTATCTTTCGTCCCAGATTTTACCAGTGACTGTTTTTCTTAACCTTACATACATCATTATCTTTCTCATATATTCGTAACGTATTTTTACCCTATACTAGTTTGCATAAATTTTATTATATATATTTTCTAAGCAAGCGCGTGATCTGTTATAACTAAGGTAGTGCCTACTTGATGTAAATTATTCATCTTGCCTCTTATTTTCTTTCTTTTTGGTGGTTTTATTTCAATCATTCGGATGACCTCAGTTTTTGACGGGTTAATTGGGACACTGAAAATTTTGACATTAAAATAATTTACTGTCTGAATGTGTGGGTATTTATTAAGTATTTTTGTGAATTGACACTTCATTTTAAAGGACCATAAGTTAAACTATCCTTGTGATTGATAATTTAGAATTGTCAGTTATGTAAACTTCTTGTTCAGTAACACGATATTCAGCTGTTTACACTGAATAAAAATTAGTAAATTGGTCAGTGATAACCACTGATAACAAAAACATATTGAACTGTTAAATTAATACACCGATAAACATTTTCCCAACTAGCAGACGACAGGCTATTCTTATCATTACAGATAATCGGTTGCGTATCTCATTGTATAAATCGTAGGTAAAATGGTCTGGCATATGGACTCACAGGCGCTAGTCACATAATCAAATATTTTACATAATCGGTCTATATATGTATATATCTTTATATACATATATAGACCGATTATGTAAAATATTTGATTATGTGACTAGCGCCTGTGTATGGACTATGGTAGGTTTAACAGTTAGTGTCAAAAGATGTGTTAAATTATATACTGTGACAAATACATGTACCAAGATCCCAAGCTTTCCATTGATGTAATGATTTTTTAAAAATCAGACCACAGGAACCCCAAATTCTATCCCAAAAAAAAAATAACTATTAAAGAAAATCCAATGTATATGTTTTTTTATAGTATTTATATGAGATTTTATTTTTAAATCATTATTTTTTTTTAGGATAGAATTTTGGGTTCCTGTGATCAAACATTTAATCACAACAAACTAGCGGTTTAAATATGGCTTAATTTTTATTGGTTTAGCGTAAGAGATATTGATTTTACTCGAAGATAAGGGAAACAACTCATATTTTTTTCACTTAATATACCTCGGTTATTTATACATGTAGTTCATATGAAAAATGTTTATGGGTGTATTGACATAATAAGCGAATGCCGTTGTCTGCTATTAGTACTTTTTGGTTCATGACATGTATCTTATGTATTTGTTAAGATTGGATAAATGACAAAACTAATTGAAATGTCCACTGAAAATTTCAGTGAAATGAGATACATATATACAATTTAGACTAGAGTTGGGCATTGCTGCTGAAAAATGTACAACTATATTATCACAGTATCTTCTGATCTTGGTTAAGTTACATTGATACTTGCATTTAAACCAAATGAATGCAGTTTGTGTAATTCTCATGTAATTCTTTATATTAAATTTTACTGGTCCAATTGTACCACGCGACAATCAAGATATTGTGCTATTTTTGAGCATGGCAATATCACCCCTCTCTAGAAGTGAGATTCTGACCCAGAACAGACATATCTCAGAATTTAGCTTTGGCACATCAATGTATTTTGACTAGGACTTTAATTGACATTATTGTCATTAAAGTCTGTGATTGAAAACATTTTGCAAAAATTAGATAAATTAACAAACTAATAGACAGTGGACATTACTAAATAAGATACAAGTAATCAGACATTGTCCATGCAATTTGAACAATTTAGAGTTGGGCATTGCTGCTGAAACTGTATCAACAATATTGTCACCAGATAACAATACCTCAAAATTGTATCATGATACTGTATTGTGAAGGCATACATGTTATCATGATTCATTGATATATCATAGGGGTGCGACTCATTTTCTATTTAAAAAATTAGAAACCTCCCAACATCTGGAATTTTAAAAAAAGAAAATAAGTTGAACTAAAATTTAAAGATCCTGTGACAAAAATTTTTTTATGGTTTTAAATCGTAAATATGATGCTCAAAGTAAGATTTATCAATATTGTAGGTTCCAAAAAGCATTATTTATAAAGATATTACCGATTTTAACATTTCATATGAATAAAGGGAGGTAATAAAAAAAATATTTTCTATAAAGTTTAAGTCAAATTTTACAATAAGAAATGAATGCATATATTAAATGATAACATATAATATGCACAAATATTTTCAGTACATATTTTACATATTCTTTGATGTTTGAAAATTGTTTTATTTGCATAAATAATTATGTACAATATATTAATATTTCACTTAGTGTGGTTTACCACTTTGATCACAGCATACAGGATCTTTAAATATATTTTATTAATAAGTAAGAAGTTTCCAGCAAGTTGGAACCGAAATAATATAATACTCTTCGAATCAATAACAAAATGAAAATAATATCTTTTATACTTTATTTCAGATGGAAATGCTTGGTTAACAAATTTACAGTAAATAATTATTGAAATAATGGGTCAGTTGTTATTAAGATCAGCAAAGAGCAGTCAAAAAAATGCATCTCCAGATACAGAAGACGGGAACCAGTACTTGTTTAAGGCAGTTCAATCTGGTAATGTTCACCAGTTAAAACGTTTTGTAGACTTGAAACCTGGACTTAAAATTGAAGATATTAGAAAGGAAGGAAAATCACTGCTACACACTGCCGTTATTCATCACCAGTTAGACTGTATGCGATATATTTTGGAATTAGGCTTGGATGCAAATGTCCAGGATAGCTTCAGGCGCTCAGCTTTAATAGAACTTATTGAAAATAAAGCTAAGGATAGAGTTTGCCTGGCATCTCATAATCCCAGGTGCCTAGAGATACAGCTTATTCTATTACTGAAATTCAAGGCAGACATAAATGCAATAAGTACTGTCGGAAGGACAGCCTTGCTGAAATCTATTATTTACAGACATCCACTTACTGAGCTATTGCTACAACATGGAGCTGACCCTAATTTAGCAGACAAAGATGGCCTGTTACCAATTCATGTTTGCGCCACATATTCTTGCCTTCAGTTACTAAAGCAGATCTTGAAATGCGGGGCTGACATAAATGGACAAGACAGTAAAGGAAGAACAGCCCTCTATTTCTCAGTGCTAGCTGGACATCAAGACATATTTAATGAATTGATTTCTCATCAATGTGACATCAATAAAGGATCCAAGTATGGATTCCCATTACAAACTGCCGTAGTTAAGGGGCGGTTAGAAATGGTTCAAGCTTTACTTGATAATGGTGCGGATGTTCAGTCTAAAGTATGTGAGTTTCGGCAGCCATATTCAAGGACCAGTGACTATTTGTATCTTGCCTTAATCGCAGCTCATACAAAAACAACCATTCCAGCTATGTCTACCGCGAAAGACATAGATAAAGCAAAACGATCTTTACAGATACTGTATCTTATTATTCAAGCTGTAAGTTATTCCGAAAACCTTGGTAGAAACGCGTTTGTGAAAACCAGACGCCAGCCATTTGAGGAAGAGAATCTACTTGCATTGAATAAAATGATAGCTCTTCTTCTTCGCAAATTGGCATTTGTTTACAAAATGGGTAAAAATTCCAAACCTGTCGATGGTCTTCCGAAACTTGATTCGGACATTGATACAAATTCGTTACAGAATATCTGTAGAATGAGGGTACGCCAGTTGATGTCAAACTCTAAAACTAACATTATTTTTGCAGTCAAGAACTTGGATTGTCCAACATTTTTAAAAGACTTAATATTGTTAAAAGATATATGTTGAAAATGTTTTATACAGTATGACTGGTTTTAATGAATTTAATGCTTGTTTTTAAATAATATCATTTTTTCACAGCGTTCAACATAAGCATGTAACATCACAAAGTATTTCCCACAATATATATAACAACATGATTGTGTCACAACACAAGTATAACAACATGACCATGTAACAACACAAGCATAACAACATGAGTGTGTCACATCACAAGCATAACAACATGAGTGTGTCACATCACAAGCATAACAACATGAGTGTGTCACATCACAAGCATAACAACATGACCATGTAACAACACAAGTTTGACAACATGAGTGTGTCACAACACAAGTATAACAACATGAGTGTGTCACAACACAATTATGACAACATGAGTGTGTCACAACACAATTATGACAACATGAGTGTGTCACAACACAAGTATAACAACATGAGTGTGTCACAACACAAGTATAACAACATGAGTGTGTCACAACACAAGTATAACAACATGAGTGTGTCACATCACAAGCTATGACAACATGAGTGTGTCACATCACAAGTATGACAACATGAGTGTGTCACATCACAAGTATGACAACATGACCATTGTAACAACACAATTATAACAACATGAGTGTGTCACATCACAAGTATAACAACTTGAGTGTGTCACATCACAAGTATAACAACATGACCATGTAACAACACAAGTATGACAACATGAGTGTGTCACATCACAAGCATAACAACATGAGTGTGTCACATCACAAGCATAACAACATGAGTGTGTCACATCACAAGCATAACAACATGACCATGTAACAACACAAGTTTGACAACATGAGTGTGTCACAACACAAGTATAACAACATGAGTGTTGTCACATCACAAGTATAACAACATGGCCATGTAACAACACAAGTTTGACAACATGAGTGTATCACAACACAAGTATAACATAATGAGTGTGTCACAACACAAGTATAACACCATGAGTGTGTCACATCACAAGTATAACAACATGAGTGTGTCACATCACAAGTATAACAACATGGCCATGTAACAACACAAGTTTGACAACATGAGTGTATCACAACACAAGTATAACATAATGAGTGTGTCACAACACAAGTATAACACCATGAGTGTGTCACATCACAAGTATAACAACATGAGTGTGTCACATCACAAGTATAACACCATGAGTGTGTCACATCACAAGTATAACAACATGGCCATGTAACAACACAAGTTTGACAACATGAGTGTATCACAACACAAGTATAACAACATGAGTGTGTCACATCACAAGTATAACAACATGACCATGTAACAACACAAGTATGACAACATGAGTGTGTCACATCACAAGTATAACAACTTGAGTGTGTCACATCACAAGTATAACAACATGACCATGTAACAACACAAGTATGACAACATGAGTATGTCACAACACAAGTATAACAACATGAGTGCGTTCCAACATGAGTATAACATTATGTGCCACAAAACAAGTTTTAAAACACAAGTATGACAACATGGCCATGTAACAACATGAGTGTGTCACAACACAAGTATAACAACATGAGTGTGTCACATCACAAGTATAACAACTTGAGTATGTCACAACACAAGTATAACAGCATGAGTGTGTTCCAACATGAGTATAACATTATGTGCCACAAAACAACATGAGTGTGTCACAACACCAAAATAACAAAATTGGTGTGTCACAAGTATAACAAACAATGATTGTTGTCACAACACCAAAATAACATAAATCAACATTTATCACCATGAGTGTGTCACAACATAAGTATAAACTCATGAGTGTGTCACAAGACCAAAATAACAAAATCCAAGGGTCACAACACAGTATAACAACATTAGTTTATCACTACACAATTATGACAACATTAGTTTGTCAAAACATAAGTATACCAAAATCAGTTTGTTGGAACACAACTGTGACAAAACATGAGTATGTCACAACACAAGTCTAACACGATCAGTTTGTCACAAGTATGACAACATTAGTTTGTCAGAACACAAGTATGAAATCATGAGTATGTCACAACACAAGTTTGACATAATGAGTATGTCACAATTATGACAACATTTGTTTGTCACAACAAATTTATTTTTTAAGAAATCTAATTCAAACTCAAATATAATTATGTTCCTTATCATCAACCACATCTTGACAAGGTTAATAACTCCAGAAGCTATATTTATCTCCCCTTGAACTTAAAAATTTCCATTTTTTTTACTATTACTTGATCTCCTTTAAACTTCAAATATTTATCATCAACCACATCATATGTGATAAGGTTTATGGCTCTTATTTTCTGAAATTTGTCTGATTTTTTTGTTAACTCTTAACTTCATTATTTTCAAATGATTTACTTGACACTTGAAATTTAAATTTGATACCATCACCCATATCAGTATAACATGACAAGATTTATAACTCTTATGTCAATATTTCCAGAATGATCTTCCCCTACAACTTGGTATTTTCCTTATTTTTTATCTGTTACATTTTTTCTTCAAAGATTTACTTCTAATTTCAAGTATATGTTTGTTATAAACACCTGTGGTAAACTTTCTAAGTCTAACACCTTTATTTCCAAAATTATTACCATTTTGAACTTGAAATTTATTTTGCTGAGGTGATTGACTTTAAATTTCAAATTGTTTTCTTTTCCATCAAAGCATAGGAATGACAATCTAACTTTTATTGATATGGGCACAAGCATGTCTTGTGCTGCAAAAATGTTTGAACATTTGTGTACAGTATTGATACAGAAATATATTTATATCATAAATGACTTTTTTCATAGTTTAGTCCAGTGTTCAATAAGTGAAGTGTGCTGTCTCCTCTGTCAGCTCTTGTTTAAGCTAAATATGCTTTTTTCTGTTAAGTTACATGTTCATCTTTAATCTGGCTTCATACATATTAACAAGTATCTGTACCTAGGCAATGACTGTAGCAAGTGAATTAATTGCAGTATCCAATTTACCCCAGTTACTTCCCTTTTCACTGCTATTGGTAAGGATACTAGTACAGTCAGAGACTTGGTTTTCATTCTTTTTAGAAAGCTATCCAGGTACATGTAGCTTATGGAATGTTTGTGGTTCCATTCATTTGACCACTTTTGTCTGAAAAAAGAAATGCACAGACGGACACCTGAGGTTTTCCTGCCCCAGTAAAGCTAGAGCCACCATTTGGCCTAGACATTGTCTGTTTCATAAACTCTAATCAATCGATTAACTTTTGCGTATTTTTTTGGTTAACAAATTTTGGCAAGTTTGATATTACAACAATAGCAATGGCTGCATATATACCAGGAATGTTTATTTCAGGGACATGGAATATAGTCTATAGTAGACGAAAATACAAACTTTTTCGGCCATTGGTCAACTCTTGCTGACTAGGGTAGACAAAGTTGTTGTTAATAATTAATATACATCCCTTCACACACTAACCACTGCAAAGGTCATAAGTTTAGTTTGTAAAAATGTGCAGTACCTTTTTTTTCCTCTAATTACCTCCCCTGTTTGAACGTTAAATCCTACCAATACATCACATACACTACTCAGTGGTATACTAATACAAAAGACGGAACTTTGCAAATTGAATCACTGTGGTATCTACTTTACCCATCTTAGATTCTATGTCACCTTTATGCACAGTGCATGTACTTTAAGTTTATCTATAAAGTTTTTATATTATCTTGCTGCCAATTTTATTTCTTTCTGGTAGTTTCATCTCAACCATTCGGATATCTTCGGTTCTATATTTGACAGCTGTCAAAACACATTGTTAGCAACAAAGTCGATTTATCTAACAAAGTATATGTGAGTACTATTTCTGAATATTGACAGTTCAGTCGAAAACAGCCAAACTAAAACAGCTTTTCAATTCTATCCATTCGTGAATTGCAATATGAAGTAGTTTCCTAACATGTACTGTATACAAACATGACAATTATGGAATTTTTAGAATACAGGTGACTCCCAGTGTTGTTGAAAGTTATTGAAAGAATGGGTCAGATTCTAATAAGCTTACAGAAATACATGTATGCACTTCCAGAGACCAAAGATGATAACTTCAATTTGTTTCAAGCTGTTGACTCAGGAAATGTTCACGAATTAAAAAGTATTGTAGACTCCAACCCTGAACTTGAAATCAAAGACGTCAGACGGAATGGAAAAACATTGCTTCATGTCGCCGTTTTTCATCACCACTTAGACTGTATACAGTATATTTTGGAATTAGGAATGGATGCCAATGTTAAAGATAATATGGGGAATATCCTTTTAATGAATATTTTTGGAAATAAACTTAAGGATAGAGTTTGCTTGAAATCTCACAACCCAAAGTGTCTTGAATCACAGCTGACTTTATTACTTAAGTACAAAATGGACATAAATGCAAGAAGCGGTGTCTTAAACAGAACAGCCCTGCTGAAGTCTGTATTAAAAAAACATAGAATTTCCATACTATTGCTGCAACATGGAGCTGATCCTAACATAGCAGATAAAGATGGTCTTTTACCAATTCATGTTTGCGCCACTAGTTCCCGCCTTCACTTACTAAAGCTAATCTTAAAGTGTGGGGCCGACATTAATAGCCAAGATAAAACAGGAAGAACTGCCCTCTATTTATCAGTTATGTCCGGGCATCAAAACATTTTTGATGAACTAATTTTTCGTAAATGTGATTTTAACAAAGGATCGAGATCCAGATACCGATACCCTTTGCAAGCTGCTGTAGCTAAGGGAAGATTAGAAATGGTTCAAATTTTATTGGAAAAAGGTGCAAGTGCTTCAAAAGTTAATTATTTACAACTAGCCTTAAAAGCAGCTCATCAGAAAGCTACCACAGAAGATTTAGACAAGGCAAAAAGATCTTTCGAGATACTTGATCTTATAATTCAAGCTGTTTCGGAAAAAATTGATAGAAATGTGATTGTTAAAACAGAGTGCTGGCACTTTGAGGATGAGAGTCTACTTTCATTAAAAACACTCCTTCAGCGTAAATTAGCATTTCTTTATAAAATGAATAAGAATTCAGAGCCCATTGATGAATTTCCACAGCTCATTCAGGACATTGATACAATTTCGCTAAAGAATATTTGTAGAATGAAGGTACGCCAGTTGTTGTCAAATTCCAGAAGTAACATTATTTTCACAGTAGATCAGTTAAAGTACCCAAGATTGTTGAAAGACTTGATATTGCTTAAGGATTTATAGCACTTAAGATGCTGACATTGTCATTATGCATGAATATTATTTACAAGTGTGTGTGTTGTGTGTGTATTTGAGTTTATTTATACTCGCCACCGGTTGCCCATATGGGTGAGTCCTCCAGAAGAGTATTAGTCATTTTATATTTTGGAGGATAGTGCAAGATACAGATACAGAAAGATGCCCCAATTCCAGAAGCTTCTCCTGGTTCTTTAATGTGCCAAGTGTTTAAGCACTCATACACAGGACCTCAATTTAAAGTCTCATCTGAAAGACTGATTAGTAATTTTAATTGACCAGCCCGGGAATCGAACCCACAATGTTGAGATTACAAGTTTCGTGCTCTAACCGAATGAGCTATGCAGGCTTGCTGGTTTATCCAATATTGATTATATTTATTTATGGTACAAGAATGCAATATTGAATATATTTATTTTCATAGAATGTAAACATGTTTTTAATGTCATATTATTGCAGTATTTTTCTTCTTTCTAACATTGAACATAAAATAATACTGGTTCCATTATACACAATTTAAAGGGACTCTTCCAAGTTTATTTTACATGATGAGACCAATTTTGTGTTTGGTGAGATTTCTGTACTTTTTCAAGTACATGTAGGAATGGACCATTTAGAACTAGTGTGCAAAAATTATGATGATTTCCACTTTCAAATTTTTCAGAAAAATGGTTTTCATTATGAATTTTGACCCCCAAAAAAAGTTTAAACTTTTTACTCAGATTGGGCTAAATTGCACAAAAAATCAATTTTTAATTTATTTATTCTATTTTTCCCATTCTACTTGGGTCTCAACCATATTTTCTCATAACAATTTTTTGTTTTAAACTGTTTGCTTTTAGAGGTGTTCATTATTGAGAAACAATTTGAATGAGGACAAGAGAGAAAGAGTTGGGGCCCGAAATGTAAACACAATTATAGCTAGCACAATTACAGTTATGATTTACTATGACATTGATTAGATTGTCAGATACTTGTTAAAATGATAAAAGTGTCATCACCACACAATTACATTATATGCTCTCACAAAATGTCAGATGTTTTATAAAAAAACAAAACATTATTTTGTGTTGTTTTATTTTTTCCTTAAAATTTACTAGGTGAGAATGACGATTCAGTTTTAACTTTTATATAAGTGCAGTATATATAAATCTATTGTGATTAATTATAATTGTATGTTGTAACAGCTGTATGTTTTATGCAAACTTTTTCAGTACAATTATTTATTAGGTAAAGAGATCTATATCTTTACATTTATATTAACCTATACCATGCAAAAATGATGTTAAATACCTTATAGTTATAATAATTCATAATCGTTTGGGTGTTTAGAATATTACAAAATGAAATTGTAAATGATTTTTTTTTATTTCAATTATAAATCAATTTGCAAGGGTTGTTCAATTCATAACAATGAATCTTATAACTCAATTAACCATGCAATCTCAATTCTACTTTCTGGATCTACCCAGAACTGTTGTCATCGGAGGAAACACGGCTGTGATCTGATAAAGGCTCAAACCTATAGTCCTTGAGATGAAGATACCTTATTTTCTAGGACACCTCTCCAATTTCTAATTCTGGATTTACAGCCAACCTGTACAAAAAAGCTACAGTTCATTGTACAAAAATTAAATCAAGTGTATACTTGTATAATGCCAATGTGTTTTACTATTTGATAACATTTCGATGTTATACTATGTGATTATATAAGATAAAAGAACTGGGCAAGTGCTGGTGATATTTGGGGTATATTGAGTTTAAAAGGAACTCCACTGAGGTCCAAAAGCTTGAAAACATAAAATTTGAATTTCTTACACAGATCAGCTGGGGCACTCAATACAAAAAATATATGCCAAAGATATTTCAGACAAATACCCAGAAATAAATTGAAAATCATATTTTTGTGCTATTCTTGGCCAGATTGAGTGAAAAGTGTTGCAACACTTTTCAATTTTTGGCCATTTTTCACAATTAGAATAAATGTTATGCAGAATAGAGTGACTAAATGATCTGAAATTTTGCACAAAAGTTACTGGTCAAGACATACATACAATAGAACATTAATCTCGAAAAAAAATATTCCAGTCCCATCTTGTAAAACAAGAAACATGGCAATGCCATGAAACCAGGTTTTCAATTATCACCATTGTAGATAAATATGTTGTATTTGAAATACAAATACAAGCAACAAACAATGTAACTATGTGCAATGTAAAACATGAATAATGTAGGAGGAATTGCGCACAGAAGAAGTGTTCACTATATATATTCTGTATAAGGAAAACAAGAACCGGTTGAACCGGGTGATGCTCCCCGAGAAGGTTCTGGACACAGGAAAGTATAAAAAAAAATGAACAAAGGGCAATAACTCCAAATTACACCATGCTTTGTTTAGGTTCTTGAAGCGTTGCAGTTCTATCCAATTATATCTAGCTACCTACAAAGTTTCATGTTGATATCTCTAATAGTTTTAAAGTAATGTCCAGGACAAAAGTCAAAAAGTAAAAATAAACAAAGGGCAATTACTTCAAAATAAGGCAAGGCAGAGTAATGATTCTTAAGCACTGCACTTCCACCCAATGAGACCTATCTATCTACAAAGTTTCATGTTGATATCTCTTATAATTTTAGAATAATGTCCCAGACAAAGTTCAAAGTGTCAAAATGAACAAAGGGCAATAACTACAAAAGAAGGCAAGACAGTGTTACAGTTCTTGTGCACTGCAAACTTACTCAATGAGATCTATCTACCTACAAAGTTTCATGTTGATATCTCTTATACATTAAGAAATATGTCCCGGACAAAGTTCAAAGTGTAAAAAATAAACAAAGGGGATAATTCAAAAATTAGGCAAGGCAGAGTTAAGGTTCTTGTTCACTGCACACCTACTCAATGAGATCTATATACCTACAAAGTTTCATGTTGATACCTCTTATACTTTTAGAGTTATGTCCCGGACAAAGTTCAAAGTGTAAAATAAACAAAGGGGGATAATTCAAAAATTAGACAAGGCAGAGTTACGGTTCTTGTGCACTGCATACCTACTCAATGAGAACTATCTACCTACAAAGTTTCATGTTGATACCTCTTATAGTTTTAGAGTTATGTCCCGGACAAATTTCAAAGTGTAAAATAAACAAAGGGGGATAATTCAAAAATTAGGCAAGGCATAGTTACAGTTCTTGTGCACTGCACACCTACTCAATGAGATCTATCTACCTACAAAGTTTCATGTTGATACCTCTTATACTTTTAGAGTTATGTCCTGGACAAAGTTCAAAGTGTAAAATAAACAAAGGGGGATAATTCAAAAATTAGGCAAGGCAGAGTTACGGTTCTTGTGCACTGCACTTCTACTCAATGAGATCTATCTACCTACAAAGTTTCATGTTGATACCTCTTATACTTTTAGAATTATGTCCCGGACAAAGTTCAAAGTGTAAAAATAAAAAATCATGTAAACAGGATTTTCAATGTTAATGTCACTGTGACCTTGACCTTGGAGCCAGCCATGCGGAACATGCGTTCTGCACGTCATCTTGATGTGGTAAACATTTGTCTGAAGTTTCATCAAAATTCTTCAAAGGGTTGAAGAGTTACAGAGCGGACAGGATTTTCAATGTTAATGTCACTGTGACCTTGACCTTGGAGCCAGCCATGCGGAACATGCGTTCTGCACGTCATCTTGATGTGGTAAACATTTGTCTGAAGTTTCATCAAAATTCTTCAAAGGGTTGAAGAGTTACAGAGCGGACACAATTTCGTTTGACGACCGCCCGCCCATCCGCCCGCCATACCCCAATCTAATAACCAGGATTTTCAAAATTGAAAACCTGGTTAAAAAACTTGAGTGGAGTCCCTTTAACCCTTTGTCTGACCTTGAGGCAGGTCACTAAAAGCTCGGATAAAAAATAACAATAACAACAACAAAAGTAAATGCATGTCATATATTACTAGTGATATTTTTATAATTAGAAACATTACTTATTTCAAAATATTTAAAATGTTAACATAATTATAAAACAATTTATAATTTATCTATACAGAATAAAAACAAATTATAAAACGGTGTAAGGGAGACAACCCATTTGCAAAAAATCAAGCTGATACAAAACTTGCTGTTTAATCTTTGCTGTTCAAAAAAATAAAATACAATGCAAAACTAACATTAATCAATAACAAAATACATTTTGTATCTAATAAAAAGTAATAAACAATATGTTATAATATCATTTTAAAGCAGCACACCTCCAGGTTTGAGTTAATTTTTATGAAAATTTGAAATTTGTTCAAACAAGACTCTTAGTGCAGTAATGAGTTAAGTCCTTAATATAATTCAATAGGAGTTAACCTGTTACTGCACTAATGTGATGAAGTGAAGTTGTTTTAAAGCGTACTAATCCACTAATTTTATCAATCTAGCCTTAGGTTCTCATTATCTATATAATATCTAACTTTTGAAAAATATGCAGGAATTTCTCTTTCTCCCCTAGGTGAAATAAATATTAAATTCTGCTTGATATAAATATTACATAGTACATTCAAAGTTATACTTGGATTTTGAGTCTACCATATAAATATATACATTTCTTATAACTATTATTGTTATTATTTATTTCATTTGGTATTAGATCTGTTTCACTAATCTGGAGGAGTGCCCCTTTAAAATGTTTACATTTTCTTAACATCACAAGTCATATAAATGTGAAGTTTCCCTGAAAGTTTCAAATATGTTGAAAGATAAGGGTTTTAAGAAATTACCAAAAAACAAGAGGTAATCCTAACAGATCTTTGCCACCCAAATACCAGTCGATCACTCTTTATATCTATATTTTAGCTTGATTATGATGGAAACTAGAAGTTTATTTGAAAAAAAAACATGAGTGTTCTTCCTTGACCTAACCAATATTGGTGTCATATGTATAAACATGGTTGTCACCCTTATAGGGCTCGAACCCACAATTTCCAGGTACATATTTATATTAGTGCCCTAATTATTAAAGTCTAAAGCATATTTGAAGAACTATTGAGTCTGATTCCTGAAACAGTGGAACTAACCAATATTGGTGTCATATGAGGAGATATGGTCGTCATCCTAAAAGGGCTCGAACCCATGATTTTCTGGTGCATGTTTATTCTAGCACCACTATGATGACACTTATCTGAACCACTCTGGTGCCTTAAACTTACTAATACTGCTATAATATGTGGAAATATGGTCATGACCCAAGTTGGGCTCGAATCCATGATTCCTGGCAGACGTAAGATTACCCTGGACTTCTTTGTAACCTGAGTAATTATTAAAACATTATGAGAGTTATGCCAAAAATTTTACAAACATAATCATTATTCTTTCCTTGACATTTCCACTCGCTAGCTTGCATTTGCAAGTAAAACTTTGAGTCGGACGAGAAAAAAGTTCATCAAACTTGCCCATTTGGGCGAATAGATTCTCCCAATCATATCGATTTGTAGAATCTCTCACCCTGCAGGACGAGTGACCTTAGAAAAAAATCATCAAGCCCTGATTATACTTCTTACTTGAACATAAAGCAAGGTGATCCATAAACAAGATAAACCTTAAAGGAGCTCCACTGAGGTAAAATAACATCAAATTTGAAATGTATACATAGATCAAGTGTAACTCTTAAAATTGTGAAAGGATAATAAATTGAAAATAGATAGTAAGTGCAATTTTTAGCCTGATTTGAGTGAAAAGTTTTGCAATGCTTTTCAAGTAATCTGTTCAGGCCTACATCAAATGGTACACAAATTCTCGGAAAAGTATTTCCAGTCCTATCATACCAAAAAAGTACAGTCCCTTTAATTAAACTTGCTTAGCACTTCTAACATTGGCAAGGCTATGGCTTTAGAACATGTAAGTTGTTACTTGAATACTGAAAGCTGAAGAAAAAAAAGAAGGAAATATTGAAAGTTAAAGAGAATCTTATCACACTGAAAAAAAAATATCATAAAATAAAATATTATTAAAACAAGAGCCCGGTTTGAGCCGGGTGATGCTCCCCGAATAGGTTTTGGACACAGGAAAGTACACCTCTTGTAGTTTCAGAGTTATGTCCGTGGAAAAAGTTCAAAGTGCAATAATTCCAAAATTAGGCAAGGCAGAGTTACAGTTCTTTGCACTGCACTTCTAATCAATCTGATCTATCAACCTACAAAGTTTCTTGATGATATCTCTTATGATTTCCAAGTTATGTCCTGGACAATTCAAAAAGTAAAAATAAACAAAGGGCAATAACTCCAGAATAAGGCAAGGTAGAGTTATGATTCTTGTGCACTGCACATCTACCCATTGAGATTTATCTACCTACAAAGTTTCATGTTGATATCTCTTATAGTTTTACAGCTATGTCCTGGACAAGATTTTACTAAAAGGGGAGATTATTCAAAAATAAGGCTTAACAGAGTTATGGTTCTTTTGCACTGCACCTCTACTCAATGAGATCTATCTACCTACAATGTTTCATGTTGATATCTCTTATAGTTTTAGAGTTATGCCCCGGACATGATTTTTCTATAAGGGGAGATAATTCAAAAACCAGGCAAAATAGAGTTATGGTTCTTTGACACTGCACTCCCCCTCGATGCCCTCTACCACTGTATGAAGTTTCAACAAATTATCTCCAAGGGTTTTCAAGTTATGTTCCGGACAAAGTTCAAGTTCAAAGTATTAAAATTAACAAAGGGCAATAACTCCAAAATTAGGACAAAAAGAGTTATTGTTCTTATGCACTGCACATCTACCCATTGAGATCTATTCACCTACAAAGTTTCATGTTGATATCTCTTATAGTTTTAGAGTTATGCCCCGGACAAGATTTTTCTATAAGGGGAGATAATTCAAAAACCGGGCAAAATAGAGTTATGGTTCTTTGACACTGCACTCCCCCTCGATGCCCTCTACCACTGTATGAAGTTTCAACAAATTATCTCCAAGGGTTTTCAAGTTATGCTCCGGACAAAGTTCAAAGTATTAAAATTAACAAAGGGCAATAACTCCAAAATTAGGATGAAAAGAGTTATTGTTCTTATGCACTGCACATCTACCCATTGAGATCTATTCACCTACTAAGTTTCATGTTGATATCTCTTATAGTTTTAGAGTTATGCCCCGGACAAGATTTTTCTATAAGGGGAGATAATTCAAAAACCGGGCAAAATAGAGTTATGGTTCTTTGACACTGCACTCCCCCTCAATGCCCTCTACCACTGTATGAAGTTTCAACAAATTATCTCCAAGGGTTTTCAAGTTATGCTCCGGACAAGACAACGGACGGACAGACGGACGGACGGACAGACGGACAAGGCGCCGACTATATGCTCCCCCGAAATTTTTCGGGGAGCATAAAAATAGAAAATTATATCATAAAATAAAACAAAATTGATAAAAAAATTATTGTTACAGTCATAACAGTTTTCTCTAACATAATTCTAAATCTTTAATAAATTAAACCAACAAGCAGAGAATAAGGCTCAATAAAAAAAAATAAAACTTAAAATTTAGCACACAAATTATTTTTTATTTCACATATTATTCTTTAAGTCTAAATCAATAAGAATTCATTCTTGTTTAAAATTGATTAGAAACAAAGAGAAAATTAGAAAAAAAAAGAAAATTAGAAACAAAAAGAAAACTCTTTAAGGTTGCAAAACACGGAAAAATTAAAACTGTTTACATGAATGTTAAACTATAGAATTTTTGCTCGCCAGATTTTAAGAAATGGCTACCCAATACTTTGACTAGAAATAACATGGGGGGAGGGGGTGGGTTCATTTTTTATCTTAAACATGAATCACATAGATCATGTAGACAGTGTTGTAACAATGTATCATCTAAATTCTACCAGACTTTTGTTTCTCATTAATTTAGAAACTTTTCCAATAATTTCATTCCTTGGCAAAGATGGAAAATTTAAAGCAGCATGCCTTCAGATTCATGCTTATTTTCAAGAAAAATTTTGTTATGCATAAAAAAGTAGAAAATAATGCAAAGAGAACAAAACTAGAAATGTGTCCATAGGACACGGATGCCCCCACACGCCACTGTTCTGTCAATCTTATGACTCTAGGTCAAATATTTTTTGGACTACATGTGCCACAAGTTGAAAACTAAAAATCAACAAAGGGCCATAATTCTGTTAAATTTGGTCGCAGCAAAAATTCCTTCCTTTACTACCATCTACACATTAAGCTTGTTAATCCCTAGAAGTTTAAGCAAAATCTGCCATCCGTTTTAAGAGGAGTTGCGTTCACAAAATTTCTATATGGTATATAGTGAACAAATCAACAAAGGGCCATAATTCTGTTAAATTTTGTCGCCACGAAAATTCCTTCCTTTACTACCATCTACACATTAAGGTTGTTCATCCCTGTAAGTTTAAGCAAAATCTGCCATCCGGTTTAAGAGGAGTTGCGTTCACAAGATTTCGGGACGTACGGACGGACTGACAGATGGACGGACGGACAGACAAGTGCAACGCTATATGCACCCCACTTTGTGGGGGCATAGAAATTAATTTACACAATGCAAATGGTACTTTCAATCCAGGTACATTGAAAATTACCAAATAAAGGTCAATATATGCCAAAAATAGCCCTGTGTTAGTAACATAGTAGAATTTGGGTGATAAATGATGCTAAATCAGCCATTAACCTAACATACCATATAAATTATTACTTAGATCTTGAATCAATTTTACTTTTCTTAAAACCTTTTCTTTTTCTTTTTTTTTTTAAAAATATTTTGGCTTATCTGGAGGGAGGCATGTGGCTTTAAACAAGTTATTGTTCTATAGATGGCTGCTTAGCACAGGTTACACTGTAGTTATCTTTTTGTTAATACTAGAAAAATGGCTTCAAACAACATCTGCAAACAATATCTGTACATTTTGTCAAGTATTGGTAGAATTCTGTACTTTCTTGCTTTCTTCAAACTTGAACACCACACTAAACATATCCCCTCCGAGTCTTTTAGCTAACCACCTGTTCTTTAACACTGCCACTTTTAATGAGTCACAATTAAAATGGGCATCAAAGTTTGTATGAATTGCCCGCCCCATTCCCTCTATGACGATCAGGTCAGTGCCCTCGGTTTTCATTTTCTGAACCAAGTCTTTGTCTATTAACCTGAAATATTAATGTTGTAACCATTTAATACAATACAATAGTATATACTTATTTCATAAAATGTCACCCCTGATACTGAGGGACAACAGTGTTAACTATTCCATCAAACACCCATGACATAAAGTGTTTAATTACCTTATGCTTTGCAATCAAACTGTAATATATATTGCAACAATATACTTATAATAACATTTTTACAACTGTTTTAATTCTTTACAACTGAATCCTAGTACCTTCAAGTGTTTGATTTTCTAAAAACCACAAATGTACATTGACCAGACTGAGGTTTGCTTATAACAAATAATAACAAATACCTTTACACAAACAACAAGAGCTGTCAGCAAGACAGGAAAATTAACGATTCTCAGAGCTTGACATTAAGAAAAGGGGCATAACTCTGTAAAAACATAACTCAGAGTTATAGGACCTATGCGATTCAACATAATCGCAGAGAACAAGTGTCTGAAAGATTCAACTCATTCCCTTTAGTAATTTTGGAAAAACTAAACTGTATGCAAAATCATAACCAAAGTGTGATAGTGACACTGAGGCCAGGGTGAGTACAAAAGCTTTACTTATTCTTCAAATAGTCGAGCTAGAAAACTCAAGCATTCATATAATTTTCTTGTGTCATGATGGTGCACAGCATAAAAAACATTGAAAGTTTCAAATGAAAAAACAGTCAAACGTAACATTAACAAAAACAAATTTTTAGCTAATCTCAATTCAACATGATTACTTTAATGCATCAGTCAATTGCAACCACAGCACAATAAGGACAATGGTTTTTGCATTTTTCTTTTGAGGAAAAATTTCAAACAATTGTTTCATTTCACCAACCTGAGATCTAAACAAGGTGACCCTTGACCTGATGCCATGACAACCAGTTGACCTTTGAGTGTAGCTTGACCAATCACAGGACAGATCTGAGCTACACGTTTAACCAGTATCATCAATTCCTGATAGGTTACATCATTTAAAGTCGGTTTCGAGTTGGCACAAAAAATTACCTGAAAATAACGGAATAAAAATTAACATTCAAATACCTCAAAGTAAACTGCAATCATTCATGTGTATAATAATAATAAATTTTAGTTTAATCGAAACAAATTAAAAGTGCACATGTACATTTTTTTTTATAACTATATAATTATGTATATATTCTCTTTTAACAGGGCCCCTACGGTCAAGTGATTTTTTTGCTGAGTCAGACGTAAGATCTCAAAAAGCCCCTGTCTGTATTAAGTTTGAATCCCTCAATAGGCTCCTTTGGATTCTCTCATATTAGACAGCATTAGTCCAGCTTGCAACACACTCTCAAGCACACTTTTGCCTGAAATAATGCACCAAGTGGCATCTGGGGTCTTCTTTCACCAGTACAGTGAAAAAAATTCTTGTTTGTGCTGATTTATTGATATGCATGTATTTAGCTATTTCAAAGTATATTTAATGCAAACTTATTAACAGTCATCTAATTGAATATAACTGTATAATCTGAATCACTAACAGAGCATAAACTATTGTTGACAAAATATCAAATTTCAATATCTAAGCTTTTCTTTTGTACCATAACTTTCCAGTACTCACTTAAAATAAATCATGCAAATTCTTACAGCTTTAAAAAGTGAGGAAAGATAAAACTGCAAATGAAAAGGTTTATTTGCCCCCCCCCCCCACAAAAAAAACAACAAACAAACAACAACAACAAACAAAAAATCAACATTATATAAAAATCTCACTTTTGTGCCAGATTTGAGCAAATCTCTAGCAAACGGTAAAACCCCTAGTATGATATCAGCTCCGCTGTTGTCACAGAATATTGCTGCACATTTATAACTGTTAGACCCTAACTGTTTATTCTTCCACTCTTCAAAGTTGTCCATTAACCATGGTCTAACTGTAAAATAAAAATTTGAGTTGTTGCATTCATAACATTTTTTACTTTTCTAGAGTAAGAATATAAATGGCTTGAAGCATATCAATAAATAATTAACATGTATTATCTTGTGCTTATGTCAGAACAATACCAAGATGTAGCAATCCAAGGGGAATAATTCAAAATTCCACTGTAATACAAGTTCTCCATTAGGGATAATGTAAGATTTTATAGATAATAACCCCTGCATAGTGAATAATGTAAAATTTCACCTCAATACCGGACCTCAATAGGATGTACTGTGAGCTAACATAGCAATTCATGCCCTCCATAGGGAATAATGTTAGATTTTCTGGTAAAAAATATCCTCCATAGGTATAGGGGAAGAGATGTAAGATTTCATATTCTAGCATGACCCGCATGCATGCTTTTCTTAATGAACATAGAACAACCAAAAGTGTGAGTTATTATGCAATATAATCACTGTTGACGTTCTATATTTAGACATGTGACATAATCATTATACATGTGATGTAACCACTAAAAATGCTGATAAGACCCTGACCTGCAGGGAACCGTCAGCTGGGACAAATTCTCTTTAACACTGCAGTGAAAGTTGAACATATATCAGTATTTTTTGCACAAAACAATACCAATGCATATTAACATAGCAATAATTAGGATGGGGTAAGGGGGTGGGGAATGGTAGGGTTAAAAAACGACTGGACCAAATTATTCACTTTTCCTTCTAGTTACTTTTGGTTCCTACCTTGTAACTTATCTTGAGCGTCCTCAAACTTGAATTCTCCCTTCTCCATGATCTCTGCCACCTCTTTGGCGCCCCAATCAAACACATTCCCCGCTAGTAGCCCCTTAGAAAGCTCTAAAATAAGTTCATTTTTGTCTTCTATAGCATCTAACTTCTGTAGTCGACTTGGCAGATACTTCAATGCTTGCTCATTTTCAAACTGCTTTTGCTACATGCAATAAATAAAATGTAAAAAATAAAATCAAAATGATTAATTTCAAACAACATATGTATTTGAAAATGATTATCAACTCTTTAAAATACTTTACTTTAAAAGGGATATTTCCCTGAAAAATATTTACTAGTAAAACTCATGTTAAGGACCACCTCCAAATAAAGAACACCCTGTAAATAAAGACCATTTCTCCACAACCCTCCAATGGTTTGGTAGAATAGAATATTCTCAAAATAAAGACCACCTGTCTATAAAGGCCATGTTCAATCTCTCCCTTTGCGTGACCTTTTTTCACAGGTTTGACTGTATATTGATTGCAATACATTATTATACAAGACAGCCTTCCATTTCATGTTTAGCTTTTTATATAGTATAATATCTCATCAACATCAGTCTTTGTGAAAATTTAAGCTATGGTTCAAATTCAGGAAAAGCTTTCGCTACGTATAGCTCATGTGACCTTCATTTTGTTCATCAAATCAGAACAAATTTAGCTTCTTTGTAGAGAACAATTAAGACACAAGAAAATTAATTTACTGTCAGTAAATATGTTTTTGGTTGGTTGGATTTAAATCACATCATCACTGTAAAGGTCATATGTTGACTTTCCAGCTTTACTGGAGGAGGAAGTGCACCATTTTATGGATGAGCAAGAACCTGAGTAGTACCACCGACGTTTCCGTAAGCAAGGCAGATTGGATTCTCCATGTAAGGAAGCTATCTATGATAACTTATGCACATAAAAGAATCCAAAGTCCCTGGCCGGATTTCAAACCCACAGCAGTAAATTCCTGATGTTGTGACCATAACCTGCACACAGGCCCAGTCAGTATTTACATAAATATATCTCAAATAACAAAGAACATTAGCCATGGGCCATCTACCAACAAACATGTAGTTACAATCATCATTCTTTTATTGTTTATCACAATCAAGTACTTTGGAAGAGATAATGTTTTAAACTTAAGTTGACAGAAAAAACAAATGTTATAATTGTAATTCCCTGAATGAAGATCTACAAATAATGTGTATGCCTGTGAACATCCTTACATAGACTTGTCTAGCTTCCTTTTTTTTTTGAACGTCTAATACCATTTTTAAGGAAAACAAAATGAAGATATAAAGTTGGTCAGCCAACAGTATAGAGCCTGGTCAGACTGCACAGGTGTACTGGCTGCCCTTGCTCCATTATAACTGGTAGCAAATCTTATATTATTAATGCTAGTATTATTAATGCTAATATTACTTTTGGTTCCAGCAAGGACAGAGATATTTACCTGTGAATAAGGATCAGTGAAATCAAACTCCTTCAGACAATGACTTCTCATATCCAGTAAACCACGAACATTAAGAGATCCATACGCACTGAAATCATAAAATAAGCAATGAAAAACTATAAGAGATCCATATGCAATGAAATCATAAAATAAGCAATGAAAATTAAGAGATCCATATGCAATGAAATCATAAAATAAGCAATGAAAAACTTTAAAAGATCCCTATGCACTGAAATCATAAAATAAGCAATGAAAATCTATAAGAGATCCATATGCACTGACATCATAAAATAAACAATGATAAATAAGAGATCCATATGCACTGAAATCATAAAATAAACAATGAAAAATATGGATGCTCCCAAAAGCAAAACTCTCCTCCCCCTTGGTGATGGAGAAAAATCTCAGATGCATTTACATGTTGGTTATTTGTTTTGTGTTTTTTATTCAATTGGGTTTAACGTTGCACCAACACAGCATAGGTCATATGGCAACGTTCAAGCTTTACTGGTGAAGGAAGACCTAAGTGCCATTTGCACATTATATAAGGCACAAGCCGGCACCTGAGTAGAACCAATGAATTTTCTTAAGCTAGCTGGATAGCTTTCTCTCATGAAGAATCCAAAGACGCTAGTGTGGCTCAAACCTACAGAGGTGATAGGCAAGTGGTTAAAAGTCATTGACCTGAACCACTCGACCATGGACACCCCTGCATCTTCACGAAATATTTGTATTAAAGTAGAACCATTATCTTAAGTATCATGGCAGGATAGCTTTGTTGTATGAAAGGATTCAAAATAACCATGGCATGATTCAAACCCCAAGCAGTGAGGGGCAAGTGGTTCTGAGTCAGTACTTAAACCTCTCTCAGTCACAGAGGTCCTTACATTTTTTTTTCATCTCGAAACAATTGATTCGAAACTTACCAAGGGTTTCTTTTTAAATTTTCCAGTCTCTGGAGATATTTTTGTTTAAATTGGGCAGCTCTATAGCGAACATCTTCTGAGTTAATGGAAGCTTGAGATTTTATTGCTTGCTCTTCTTGCTGGAATAGAGAATATTGAAAAATGTAGATTTTAAAGGGACTCCCCTGAGGATTTTTGACACAAAGGAATTGGAAATATTTTTTTTTTCGAGATCAATAGTGCATTCGATATATGATTAGATAAATATCTTGTGTGCAAAATTTCAAAATCATTAGCTCATTCCATTGTTCCAGAATGATTATACTTATTATAAATTGAAAAGCGTTGCAATGCCTTTTTTACTTAAATTTGGCTAATATAGCACAGAAATATGATTTTCAATTTGTTTTTAAGTATATTTTTAATCATCTATTGCTAATCTTTCTGTGCTTAAAATGCCTCAACCAATGTATGTAGGAAATTTTAATTTTATCTTTTTAGTTTTTTAACCTCAGTGGAGTTCCTTTAATACTAAATTTATTGAACAAAATGAATAAAATCATATTATGCGAGCCTTTGGTGAGTGTAATACTGACATCACGCCAAAGTGTTATTAATTACCCTAGTCAAGGGGCAGGATGTGAAATGGTTGCATACTTGGTTCAAGAGAGAAAATTGGTTGCAAACTTGACAAAATGGCTACCGAGTCATGAATATTACTAACGCTTGCACGTATTTTCTTCAGGTAAGTGGGTTGATATGTTATTTAAAATTCTTTAATATGCCTAATCCTTAAAACAATGTTTATGGCACACTTGGTTTAAGGTCTCAGCTTCCTAGCTTCTGATATGCAATGTTATTGAAGATATAAAATGGATATGTACATACAGTGTATTTTGAGATTACACAAGTGACAGTCCAGGGCGATTTTTATGCTCATTTATTAACATCTGAATGTTTTGAAGTTCACAAAACAAGACAAAATATTTATTTTTCAATACTGTGTAAATGTTTGAATTTGCATGTTCTCAAATAAAATTTCAATACAGGAAAATATCTTGTTCAAGTGCATTACAGTTAACTTACTTTAAGTTCACACATTTTTGGATTCCAAATTTTTTTTTCAGTCAAATAATATTTTTAAACTGCCAAAGGATTCAACAAAATCATATTGATTAGTCACAGTTATCCTTGAAAATTTTATATATGCAATTGTATTTTTTTTCACTTGCTTTTAAAAATGTTTTTAAATGGCTTTGATATATAGGGGTTTCTTTATTTAGTTGTCAATTGTAATAATTTATTGGAACGACCACTCAATGTCGTGACTTTTGTGTTACTTTTGTAACAAAGCTGCAGCATTGCATTGGCTATGATGACCTTGGATGAATCATGATATACATTGTTTTTTATCTTGTGAGTTATACAGTGATTAATTTAGCTACATAGAAAATATTTTATCTTGATATATATATATTTTGTGAAGTGTCTTATTCTGAACAGGATATATGTATAAAGTGGTACAAGAGGTATGTCCTAAATTTTCCTTAAATTTAGTAATTTGGTAAGAAAAAAAAAAATGCACTAATTAAAGCTTAATTCAGGATGGTTTGAAATTTTATTTTCCTGCAACACTTTAAAATGGGTGAGGCTTTAAACCCATTTTAATTTTTAAAATAATTTTTAGTATAAAGTAAGAAAGACAAGTGCCCTAAACTTAATACTTTCCTCTCACCCAGCCCAAAACATTTCTTATACCTGCTAATAGTGAAAATACAAAAAAATACTTTCATTATGACCCAGTTTATTAGTGTCATCAAAGGTCATATATTTACTACATGTAATTATATAGAGAGTGAAAAGGTGAAAGTCAAAATAAGTTTATATTTTATCATAATTCCATTCAATTTTGTTATTTACTCTGCAAGAACAATAAACTTAATACTTTACATGGCCCAAGGAAGATTCTGTAAATATTCATCGGAATGACCTGTAATGAGTGTAGGACATAACCCCCATTTGGACAAAAGCCCTCCCATCAAAAAGTGACAAGGCTGACAAAATCCCACAATTTTAATGTCTATTTCAAGATCATTAATGTGGGAAATTTAGACATCAAAAGTGCAATGCCTGACCTCTTATACTAGCTATAATCATTTGCAGAATAAACAATGGAATATCAAAAACTTCACAATTTGCTGCTGATAAATTGTATATCATGTTAAATTTGAACACCTAATTAAGCTTTTATCTTAATTAAATCAATGTCATTACATATCTGACCGGACATATGGTACTAAACTTTGTACAATTTAGGTAATTTAGATACATGTACCCTCCTTGACAGGCCTTAGACATAAGTGTCAACATAATCAGAACTAAACAAACTAATTTGTTAGTTAGGAGAAGAACCTAGCTGTACTGTGTCTGTAGCTTTGAAATTATGACATCTGTATGGAAAAATGTTCAAAAAGTGTCCGGTTGATGGTCCCTGACCAGTATATAAAAATATATCATTTTAATTCATACCAAACAACAAATGTTTTCCTCTTTAGATCTTGTCAAAATGCATAATGATCACTTCAGTTAAAAGCCTTCATGTTCTGTAAGCTTAGCTGGATAGCTTTCTCACGTTAAAAAAAATTCGAAGTGCCTGGCAAGATTCGAACCCACAGCAAATTATAAGAAATTTCAACAAACTTTAAAATTCTCTTCATCAGAATGGCTACAGGTGGAAAATTGAAGACACTTTGCATTAGTAACACTAACGGTGACCAGGAAAACCAGCAAAATGCATCAGCAGAGGCCGTGGACAGTGTGGGCATCAAGTATCCATGTAATCCTTGTACATATAAAGAGAACAAGACTATGACCGAGGCACAACACTACTGTCCGATATGTGAAGAATACTATTGCGAGGAATGTGTTACCTTTCATAAAAGAAAGGCCTTATTGAGATACCATACTTTGTACGGAAAATCAGACATGGACAAGTGGGGACAGAGAACTAACTTCTACCAAACTAAAGGAAAAATGTGTCAAACACCCTACTGAATTAATCACCATGGTGTGTTTAAAATGTAATGAATTGTGCTGCCATGTCTGTATTTCTATAAATCATAGGTAAGTATTTACAGAAACCTTACTTCAAAGCTTCTGTATTCTTGCTTTTTATTATTAAGTCATAGCAACACCTTTATTGTTTTTATGATGACTTTCCAACTTAACTGATGTTTACCATTTACCATTATTACATATGAGCCTCGACATGACAAAACCAACATAGTGCGTTTGCGACCAGCATGGATCCAGACCAGCCTGCACATCTGTGCAGTCTGATCAGGATCCATGCTGTTCGCTATCAGTTTCTCTACTTGTAATAGGGTTGGTAAGCAAACAGCATGGATCCTGATCAGACTGCGCGGATGCGTAGGCTGGTCTGGATCCATGCTGGTCGCAAACCCATTATGTTGGTTTTGTCATGGCATGGCTCATATCAATGCCACCTTTGCTTAAAAGCCGTTATAACATACCAATGCTACCTTTGCTTAAAAGCCCTTATAACAAAACCAACATAATGGGTTTGCGACCAGCATGGATCCAGACCAGCCTACGCATCTGTGCAGTCTGATCAGGATCCATGCTGTTCGCTATCAGTTTCTCTACTTGTAATAGGGTTGGTAAGCAAACAGCATGGATCCTGATCAGACTGCGCGGATGCGCAGGCTGGTCTGGATCCATGCTGGTCGCAAACCCATTATGTTGGTTTTGTCATGGCATGGCTCATATCAATGCCACCTTTGCTTAAAAGCCGTTATAACATACCAATGCTACCTTTGCTTAAAAGCCCTTATAACATATCAATGCCACCTTTGCTTAAAAGCCGTTATAACATATCAATGCCACCTTTGCTTAAAAGCCGTTATAACATATCAATGCCACCTTTGCTTAAAAGCTGTTATAACATATCAATGCCACCTTTGCCATTCATAAAACATTACAATTCAAGCCCTGAATATAAAGAAGCATAAATTTTCATAGTTTAGACATTTAACTCTTTCATATTAGATAATAATATTAGTATACAATAAAACTTTGTATAAACGTCTAAAAAAATAACACCAGATCAAGTTTTTACAGTTGTGACACCAAATGACCATGAATCCTTGGTATACATGTATTCAAATTTACAAAATCAATGTTTGTCCATGTGTATATTTCAGCGAGTGTGATAGTATAGAGGTTATTCCGACTGCAGCTAAAACTATTCTACAATCCAGCAGAAAACAGGATATTATAAACAAAATACAGAAAAGAAGCAACGAAGCATCATATCTAAAAGATAAACTCAATTACTCTCTAGATGTCCTTAACACAAAGCAGACGACCTTCCTAGGCCAGATAACTGATATGAGAAAACAAGCAAACGACATTTTTAATGAGATGGAGAGAAGAGTAACTTCCCTTGCAAATACTCTCCATGGAAACATCAGTGAAAATATTGTGGCATGTGATGACTTGACCCTTGAAATGCGTTCAATAAAAGAAAAACTTCAAAATTCTGATAACAAAGATGAGTGTCATGTGTTAATTGATGTAGTTAAGGCAGAAAATCATGAAACCTGGGCCAAAGAAGAGATAGATAAAATACCTTTAGACAAAAGTGAATGTTTGCTAGCTGTACAGGAGTTTAATTCTACGCCTGATACAGGCTTATACCAAATTCTCCAACACAGCAAAGGAGGTCAAGTAAGCTGCAGACTTCCCTTTACAAAAATTGGTCTCAATGAGGAATGCATACACAAAGAAAGTCATAAAAAATTTGGTCTCGATAGGGAATGCATACCCAAAGGAAGTCTTAAAAGAATTGGTCTCAATAAGGAATGGATACACAAAGAAAGTCATAAAAAAATTGGTCTCTATAAGGAATGCACATACAAAAAATGTCCTTTAGAATACTTTGGTCTCAATAAGGAATGGATCAACAAAGAAAGTCCTATAGAAGGCTTTGGTCTCAATGAGGAATGGATAAAGATAGAACCTTTAGAAGGCTATGTAGAAGGAATATGTCAAATATGTGATGGTTCATTTATATTAACTGATTCAGCGAATTTTTGCCTGGTATGGTTGTCTACCTCTTACAAATTGAAAGAGACTGTAGCTTTGCCCGAAGCACCCTCAGCAGTTTGCAATACAGAACCAAACCACATAGCCGTCAGTTTGAACAGCAAGTTACATGTATTCCTGATAGATACAGACATCACTCGCGTTCCAACACAAGACTTGACATTCAACCATCGTACTTGTGGACTGGCTTATTACGACAGGAAGTACTATATCTCGGACCACGCCTTTACAGTTTATGTGTATGACATTAATGGAGTATGCCAGAAAGAAATCAAAACATACATAAGAGGATCGTTGTTTCAATCAGTCAGAAATATTGCCATTGGAAAAGAGACAAAGACCATTTACGTGACTGATATTGACAAAGGCTTGATAACATTGGATCTAGATGGAGATGTCTTGTCAACCCTTGAAACATATGACACAAAGGGAGCATATGGCTTATGTGTTTCCAGTACAGGAACTGTTCTTGTTACAAACTATCTACTGGACAAAGTGATTGAAGTTGATGAATATGGTATGACTGTTTTACACCCAAGACTGTTCACGCTGACAAAGGGTCAGAGTTCACGAGCAATTTGCTTCGACACACAGACCTCCAATGTTCTGATTTCTGAAAATCCTTTAGGAGGTTCTAAAATGATTACAGTGATCTGTTAGAAACATTTCTTCACTGATTTGTCTATGGTATGCTTCAACCTATAAAAGAGTGTGCAGTTTATGGCATGCTTCATCCAAGTAAATTGTGTACAGTTTATGGTATGCTTTAACCTATTAAAGAGTGTACAGTTTATGGTATGCTTTAACCTATAAAAAGAGTGTACAGTTTATGGTATGCTTTAACCTATAAAAAGAGTGTACAGTTTATGGTATGCTTTAACCTATAAAAGAGTGTACAGTTTATGGTATGCTTTAACCTATTAAAGAGTGTACAGTTTATGGTATGCTTAAATCTGTTAGAGTGCACAGTTTATGGCATGATTCAACCTATTACAGAGTGTACAGTTTATGGCATGCTTCAATCTATTAAAGAGTGTACAGTTTATGGCATGTTTCAACCTATTTAAGTATCTACAGTTTATAGCATGCTTCAACCTAGAAAGTGTACAGTTTATGGTATGCTTTAACATATTATAAAAGTGTGTACAGTTAATGGCTACTTTCAGACAAGAAGATTTTTTAATTTTGTGTTTTTTGAAATCCTTTTCTGGCCCTATGACCTACATATGCAACAGACCGGAGCCATTTGAACAACTTTGAAAGGGGACCACCCAAGGATCATTTCTGTAAAGTTTGGTTGATGTGCAGTCATTGGCTTCAACCAATTAAAGAGTGCACAGTTTATGGCATGCTTCAACCTTTAAAGTGTGTAAAGTTTATGGCATGCTTTAACTTATTAAAGAGTGTACAGTTTATCTTAAGGTATGCTTCATCCTTGTAAAAAGTGTACAGTATATGGCATGCTTCAACCTATAAAGTGTACAGTTTAAGGTATGCTTTAACATATTATGAAAGTGCATACAGTTTATGGTATACTTTAACCCATTTAAAGTGTGTACAGTTTATGGTATGCTTTAACCCATTTAAAGAGTGTACAATTTATGGCATGCTTCAACCTATTAAAGAGCGTTGGCTTTGTCTATGTTTGTGCAAACCTATAAAAAAGTGTAACATTTCAATTGTATGCTTCAACCTATTAAAAAGAGTATAGTTTGTCCATGGTTTGCTTTAATCTTTTAAAGAGTGTACAGTTCAGAGTAAGCTTTAACTTATTAAAGAGTGTACAGTTTATGGTAGGCTTTAACCTGTCAAAGAGTGTACAGTTTATGGTAGACTTTAACCTGTTAAAGAGTGTACATTTTGTGGTATGCTTCAAACAATCATCATGTGATTTGATGGCTTGGTAATTAATCACATCTCTAGGACAAAGGTCAAATTCACACTAAAAGGTCAAAGGTAAATACTTCCCTGGAGCAAAACATGCATTGACAGGTTTTAATATGACTTTGCATAAAATGTAATGTTCACCATTGTGAGTGGAAGTGTCACATGCAAAATTGTGGTTCCTATGGCCAAGGTAAAGGTCTCACCTTATGCATCATACATGTAGGTCAGATATATAGTATCAAAATGTGTGTACAGACCATTCACTGGTCATAAAATGATTTATTTTTATCACAAATGTTCACTAACTGTATCATCAATATTTTTTCTAGCTACATCTTGTCAGAAACCTTAGTGGATTCACTTTTATACATACAGTGGAACCTGTCTAATTCGAACTCGTTTGGACCAGAAAAAAAGTTTGGATTTGAAAGGTTTCCGGATTAAAAGGTTTTTACATGTTTGTAGATGTGAAGGGCAGAATAGTTTAAGGAAAGAAAACGGGAAAGCATATGAAATTGCATGTTCTAGATGAATTTATAACAAAATGGGCAAAACAACCAGATTTTATAAATGCTAAAATAAACTTATTCAAAATATAAAAAAAAATGTTCATGTATACAACCTGTTAGTTGCGTAGATGTTTCATAATTTTTTGTTCAGTCAGCAGGAAATACATGTATAACTGTGTTGTATTTAAGATAATTAGGCATGTTCTGGTTACGTGGTTTCATTTTACTTTATTTTCCTTATTTACTATTGTCCTGAAATATATTTTTTGTTTGCTTTACTTCCTTATTGTTACAAAGTCTATGTTACGTGTGACAGCTACTAAAAATAAAGTTTAAGTTCTTTACTTCCTTTTTGTTACAAAATTCCATGTTTCGTTTTTGTAGCACTTAAAAAAAAATTTTTAGTTTGTTTTTTTTTAGTACATATGAAGTAAACCCTTTTCTTAGGGAATTAGCCATATATTTAGAAAAACCCGGGTGGCAATTTAAATAACCAAGAAGAAACCTTAGAAAGTTCTATAATTGAGATTTTCCAGAATAAACAGTTCCATTAATTAAAGTTTTTTCCTGAAATAAAAAGCTCCCTCTTGTGTCGTATATTTTATTTTTTTCCAATTTTTGGGGGAGTAAAAAAAAAAGCCTTTATTAAAAAGGGAAAAGTTTAAAAATAAATTTCATGACTGCGGTTAAACGTAATTTTTGGGAAAATGGCCGCCTTTAATATTTTTTCCCCCTTTCCTTCAATTTTAAAATGATAAAAAATAAAAATGTTAGACAAACTTATTATTGGAATTTTTATAAAATAATACGGAAATTTTAGGAATTTTTTCACTTCAAATTTTTTTTTTTTTAAAAATTTTTAATATTAATATATTTATATACCAATGGTAGTGATGAATTTCCTACGGCAACATTATTGAGTCAGGCTAGCCTGTACTTTGGCAAAGAATTTTGGCAACTTCAACAACATTTAACATTTTAGTATATGATGCGTATAATAGCCTCATGGGCCCCATTACATCACTTGGTCGTCATGTATAAATTATTATTGCATACCAAACGGAAAAGAAAAAATAACCTATATTTAGACACATCCTGTGAATTACTGGATTCAAAATAATAGGTCACCATTTGGTCAATTTGATACTATTTAAGGACATGATTGGTAACATGTCCCAGATCCGTACTCTCAGTGCCTGAAAGGGCCCGTGGACACTTTTAAAACTTAGAACATACACATAGTTCTGGTTAAAACTTATGAGGCAGCTTATTTTCAATGTTTTGATATCTTCTTTTTTGGTTGGATTTAACGTTGCACCAATACAGTACAATCATGTCATAATGGTGACTCTCCTGCTTTACTGGTGGAGGATTACATCCGGTGCCTCTCTGTACATTATTTCAGGCACAAATAGGCTACTTAGTAGAACCACCGATGTCTCATAAACTAGCTGGATATTTACAACTATATTAATCTTACCTTGTCTATACTGTCAACAAAACATTGCAGCCAATATGCTCTAGCATGGGGGTCCTGAGTTAGATCTACAGTATCCGGGAGGTAGGTCTCAGCGTTCAACAGTAGGGGACAAGGTAATAAGGTTTTCTCAAGTCTGTCCAGTTCTAGCATGTCAAACTGAAATAAAAACAATATGTGGAACATTACAAAATACATGTCCACCTAGAATATTAATAATAAATAAGTAATATAGTCCAGAAAATAGTTTCATATGATTAAATCATTAAGAAATATCAAAGCTAAAGTCTGCAACTCACTTTAGAAAATCATTATTCAGTCACTTGCTTTGAAGAATTTAAGTACAAAATGATGTAATCAAAACCAAATAAATGCACAGGCATTTGGTGTGTGGAGCTTTAAACACCTTTAAATCCAAATAAAATGTATACTTGAAAAATTTTATATTTCAACATCTATAATTTTTAAATGTTGAAATAAGATTTTTTTTTCAAAACAGATTATAAAAAGTTTATGAGCTGGGATTGACAAAAATACATTTTATTTTGATTTTAAGGTGTTTGGAGCTCCACACCCCAAGTGTATGTGAATAAATGAACAATAATGAGGGTTTTGCATTAGCCATGACCTACCTCAGTTTTTGCCTGCTACATGATAACAGGGGACAGTTTTTTGATCAGTCATTACTCACCTCAAAAGCTGACTGATAGCTAAGTCATAGGTAGTATTTTGGATCAGCCATTACTTACCTCAGACGTTGGCTGCTGGATTATAAGACGGGAGGGTTTTGGATCAACCATTACTTACCTCAGACTTTGCCTGCTGGATTATAAGAGGGGAGAATTTTGGATCTGCCATAACTTACCTCAGACTTTGCCTGCTGGATTATAAGAGGGGAGAATTTGGGATCTGCAATAACTTACCTCAGACTTTGCCTGCTGGATTATAAGAGGGGACGGTTTTGGATCAGCCATAACTTACCTCAGACTTTGACTGCTGAATTATAAGACGGGAGCGGTTTTGGATCAACCATTACTTACCTCAGACTTTGCCTGCTGGATTATAAGAGGGGAGAATTTGGGATCTGCAATAACTTACCTCAGACTTTGCCTGCTGGATTATAAGAGGGGACGGTTTTGGATCAACCATAACTTACCTCAGACTTTGACTGCTGAATTATAAGACGGGAGCGGTTTTGGATCAGCCATTACTAACCTCAAACTTTGCCTGCTAGATGACAACAGGGGAGTATTTTGGATCAGCCATTACTAACCTCGGACCTTGTCTGCTGTGTTATGAGATGTAAGGGTTTTGGATCAGCCATTATTTACCTCTGACTTTGCCTGCTGGATATTAAAAGGTGAGGGTTTTGGATCAGCCATTACTATCCTTGGATCTTGCCTGCTGGATAATAAGAGGGGAGCATTTTGGATCAGCCATTACTATCCTTGGACTTTGCTTGCTGGATTATAAGAGGGGAGTATTTTCGTACAGCCATTACTATCCTCAGACTTTGCCTGCTTAATTATAAGAGGGGAGTTTTTTTTGAACAGCCATTACTATCCTTGGACTTTGCCTGCTGGATTATAGGAGGGGAGGGTTTTGGATCAGTCATTACTTACCTCAGACTTTGCCTGCTGGATAATTAGAGGGGAGGGTTTTGGATCAGCTAGACCTGAGCTTCCTGCAAAGTTCTCTTCCCAAGAATATAATTCTGCATCTGTTAATGACAAAACAGTCAAATCATATTGTAATGGCCAAATCATCTTCATTTTTAACAAAATGTTTTGTTTTGTAAAAAGATTTCAATCACATATGGACAAAAAGAACACATGGGAAAATCGTCCTGACACCAGTAGACTAAGAACTGGTACAAAATGAGGTAAAAAGATCCTGACCTGAGTAAGGCTTGTACACAAAATCCCTAGGTAGAGAGGCAGACACCTTAACCATAAGGCCACAGCACCCTTAAATGTCTTACTTTTTTAGTATTTTAATATCAGATGACAAAAATGATAAAGCATTAAGTCAGGGTAGTTTGTATTGATAAACATTCTAGGCTGACACAACTTTCCGTTAATGGAAAAGTGTTTCAAGATTAAATTAGCATTGAGGTGTGCAGCTCCTTAATGAAAATGAATCGAGTTTTATTCTTAAATCTAATATTTTTCATATAAAAAAAAGAATTCATGCATTAACAATGAGGCAAATGATTCTTGTAGAATGTTTTGTGAAACTATGCTGCATGATTCCTTAATATATAAATCAGTACTATAAGTATCATACCCTCTTCCTCTGCCCCTTTTAGAAATGCTCCAATTGCCCCTAAGTACCCTTCATGTCTCAGAAACAGGGGCTGTATATCACCCTGAAGAATAAATAAAATAATAAAATTGATAAAACTCCAAAATATATAACAAACACCTCTATTCTGACAGTACACTCGGCTACTCTAGGTGCTTCATAGTAAACCAAGAGTTATACAGAAAGTGCATAAAGTAATTCAGTAAAAATCAATGGTACATAAGAATCGAAAAGTTACCCAATTTAAAATTCCAGACATTTCCAATGTGGAAATATTTGCGAATCGTGCAAGGGTAGAATTTAATGACAGGTTGGTTTAAATTTACACTAGAGTAAATTTAAGTGATATTCCACAATTCGCGAAAATTGCGAAATTTGCAGCATCACTAACTTAACCACTTATACACTACTGATAAATTTTTTTGCATTCTATGCACTCTATTACCATTTTAATTCAAACACAAACAATAATTTTACTATCTATAGACAACAAATTTATAGCATAATAGCATTATACACTGTAAAATGTTTAAAAAATGACCTTAATGACCCAAAAGTATCAACATAGGTATTATACATGTGCCTTACCTTTGACCAGAACTTTATAGCATATGTGATAGTGTGCATTGTGAGTGGATGTCCTCTTATGAAATAACCTCCGAAATAGATTTTCTTTAAGGAATGAAGTTTAGCATGTAGACAGGCTATCTGGCCAATATCATTACTTATTGACAGTAACAAACTCCTTGCCACATCCTCTTCTTTAAAATTATGCTCCTCTGAAAAAATAAAATAAATATATTGTTTCACATTTTTAGTAAACTCTCTGGCTGTTGGCAGCAAACAGATTCTACCTATGTGACCCGAGTGCAGACCAAGATCAGCTGGCACACCCCATGCTATCTGATGATGGTCTGCACTGTTCTCTATTCAGTCAGTAGATGTTTTGTACTTTTCTCATAAAATAATTAGTGGTTTAGTCCATGTTGAAAGATGGACAAGTTCATTTCATAACTCTGCTAAAAATAATCAGCAAAATCCTACACACATTTCCAAAGGAAAAAATTTCCAACTATTCTCACTGCTTGATAGTAAAACAAAAGCCTGGATAATGTAGTATTTTCTAAATTTAAAAAGAGCAATAATTCAATCAAAACTTAAATTAGAGTTATGGGCCTTCAACAGTCACCACCAAATATGACCTAAGATAAGTATGTGAAGTTTCAACCCATTCCCTTTGGAAGATTTGGAGATACCAACTTGTGCGCAAAACTGTGACTGCAGCACCGATGCATGGATATGTAAAGTAGCTCTCCTTATTCTTAAAATAGTAGAGCTAAAAATTGACATGCCAACAGCTCAGAGTGTGGACAAACTGCAATGACAGTAGGCTGGCCTGTCTCTAATATTATGACAAAGTCATTTTCGCTTCCAGCATGATAAGTGTTATATCATGCTTTATTTGTCACAGCACTTTTTGAGAATCAAGGAAACGGTAAATGAGTTATAGCTAACAATATGTGCACTAAAAACATCATGGATGATTAATTTTTATACAATTTTGTAACTATGCAATTTTGTTTGACAATGACCACTCAAATTCAATAAAATATATTCCTAATTACTTTTCTAACTGCACTCAAAAATAAAATACCTACCAGACTGTGAAGTAGATCTAGGAGATCGAGCTGCTTTTCCAAAACTACTGGCTATAATGTCTTCCTTCAAACCTATCGTAGAGTATGCCCCGCCATATATATCACGAACCAACATGTCCACATTACGATGATCGCCTTTCTCAGCTAGATTCAACAAGTCATCAAACGTCTAAAATAATAAAATCAGCAAAACTAATATCAGCAAATAAGATAACAGAAAAAATTCACTTAATTACAGCTTTTAAAGTGACATTATGTTCATTTTTCATAGTGAAGTTTAACTGAATTGACTGTATATTTCAAAAGATTGACTGTTTTAATGATGATTGGCCAATAGATTATATTGAAAAATGTTTGCAATAAAATACAAATCTGCCTAAAATATAAAAAGACTCTTTTTTTATAAACTAAATGTTATAAGTAATTTCCGAATGATATTTATAGAAATGAGTCGGGTCACGACAAAACCAACATAGTGGGTTTGCGACCAGCATGGATCCCGACAAGCCTGCGCTTCCGCGCAGTCTGATCAGGATCCATGCTGTTCCCTATCAGTTTCTCTACTTGTAAAAGGGTTTGCAAGCGAACAGCATGGATCCTGATCAGACTGCGCGGATCCACAGGCTGGTCTGGATCAATGCTGGTCGCAAACTCATTATGTTGGTTTTGTCGTGACGCGGCTCAAATTTCCTTTGGTCACATGAATTATTAATTGTTCATGTAAAGTAAATTATAATATTGAAAGGAATTATGACAAAATATTTACTTATTTTTACCTTCACCTGTTCACTTAAAATATATATCCTTACATTGACATATATAATGACACATTAATGTTATAAGTCAAATGTGAGATAATTAAGAAATAATATATCCTAAACAATGGTTTTATCGCTCATAAAATCACTGTTTGGAGTTCGGATGCGAGGAATTATATCACGAAGTCGTAGCCCTAGTGATATAATGATGCACATCCGAATGACAAACAGCATTTATTGAGCAATAAAATCACTGATTTGGATAAATTATTTCAATTCTAACACGACATCAACAAACAAATGCTGTCAAACCTGATATTAAGCTAAATTGCGCCTGATTTGTTTCCGAAATGATTTCAGCGCATCACATTTTTAGTGGTTACGACATGTGTATAATGATTACATCACATGTCTAAATATATAACGTCAAACAGTAAATTTATTGCAAAATAACATCCACTATTGGTTCTTCTATGTTCAATGGAGAAAATGCAGGTTGTGTTAGAATTACATGTATATGTTCATTTCACCCTGACTGCCCTTAATGTGTATAATGGAATTGTCTAATATTGATGAGAGGGATAACAAGATGCAAAAATAAAGCAGCCAACAACATACAGGGTTTTTTTCCTCAGCACTTTGGGAATATGACCCAACCCAAAGAATTGGGAATTTCTGACAAATCGTGAAAAAATATGACAACATATTGTATACATCAAATAAGACAAAGAAATCAAATATTTTGTAAATTAAATTCCTTTTATATTTCACTTATAAGCATATATTACAATTTGGAATGCAAGAATACAATTTTCTTTGGCACAGTGCAGTTTAATGTAACAAAATGACAATAATTTTACATGTACTTACTTTGACAGATATTTTTCCTTGCATATTCTACCATATCCTATCAAATTTCAAATTAATGACCCGAATAAAACAATTTTCCATGGAAATTAAAGTCATTTTCTCCGTAACTATTTTCTTACAATAGCAAAAGTGGTCAATAACTATCCTTTCATATATCTAAATTTCAACGAGATTTAACCTGTTACTGCACTTAGGAAATGATATGAGACCATTTTTGATTTTCTATTTATCTAAATGTGCACCAAAAGATAAGATAATCACCCTAGCTTTTGTGAGAAGTGAGCCTAGTCCCCAAAATGTGCCTCCACCTGTGGCTGTTCCACCAATACGTTCAAACTTATCCTCTGCTTCTACCTGAAATATTACAAACACTGTCGACAAATACATTATTTTTGTTAAAAATTATTTTGGACCCTTTCATAAAATTTTATAATACTGCATGTTTGAAACGTCACTTTTCATTGGATAATCGTGATGTTAATATATTTTTATATACCCGGCTGCTGTCAATTTTCTAAGAAATCTCACTATTTTCTCAAAAAGGAAGTTTGCGGTATTATAAATTCGTTATAAATATTCCTGTAGGTTATATGACTATATATAAATGGTTGTTTGCAATATAACCCTTGCCTAAGCCGTCCGGTTAGCTCAATAGGTAGAACATTGGACTGTGAAGTGAGTGACCTGGGTTTGATTCCCGGATTGCGCAGGTCACTTTCGTTGTGATTGATCATGAAATACTTTCTACTGTCATTCGCACTGTACCTCTGCTCTTGATTGTACAGAAGTTTCAGTTCCTTGCGAAAGTGAAGGCAACTAGTACTGTTAAATTGCTTGACAGCCTGCCCAGGAAGGATGCGGTGGTTGAACTGTGCTCTGGTAAATTCAATGAGGCTTACTGTCGTGATCCAGAGTGAAAACTACCACCACCAACCCTCCCCTACTGGCGCGGGTTCTATTTCCAAACAACCATTTATATAGGGCCATATAACCTGTCAAAAATCTTTATAACTAACAATATAATTCATATCTACTACTGATGACTTTGATGTGAACTGATGACAATTATTTGTTTACTGGTCTAAGGGAGACAACTGCAATAGACCTAAAAAACCTATTTTCTCTTACAAGTTGTTTCAGCTTGTTCTTCCATGAAAAACTGTTTCACATTCAAATTAAAACTTCAAATCTGTCTGGATCAACACCTGTTTATGATAGCACTAGAATTTCAATGACATACGGGTTGTCAGGTAACTTTACTGGTGTAATACTACAAGATTTAACATAGAAATCAAGTCACAGTATTTAAAACTTTTCTACAGGTGAGGTATCAAAACTTTTACATTGCATCAACACAGTCATATGACAACATTCCAGCTTTACTTTTAGTTGAAGACCTTGAAGGTGCCCCTTTCAGCATTATTTCAGGCACATTAACAGACACCTGAGTAGAACAGACACCTGAGTAGAACCAACAACATTCTATTAGCCAGCTGGATATCTTTCTCACATGAAAGAATTTGAACACCTTGTTGCGGTGGAACCTACAACTATGAGAGGCAAGTGGTTAACCACTCAGCCACAGATACCGAGGCTAACCTAAGTCAATACTGATGACAGAGGCTAACAGAAAACACTTTCAGGTCAAACACAGTATTTGCAAGTAAAACAAAGTAAAACTAAATAAATTTTCACCGTACCTTTATCAAACTAACACCGGAGCCAATGTTGACTAGAAGATAGGGGAATGTATTATGATCAACTCCGAGGAACTTATATTCTGGTGAATCGTGCCGCTGGTATATAAACACTTCATCAGGTATGTTCTTCAGCAGAAAGTTACAACCCTTTATAAGGCAAGAAATCTCGTCCTCTTTGTCCACACTGAAACATTTAACAACAAATGATTAAAATTTGAATGGTTTAAAGTAAGTTCTGTTGCAAAATTCTTGGTTTTACATTATTATCTAGCTACAATATTTTAGTTGCAATATCAAAAGTGAATATTCATGAAATATGACACATCTAAAAGATTACTTAATTTTTCTAGATAAAAGAACAAAAGCTGTCTTTAAGACAGTGTGCTCAGCTCAGTGCTTGACAGTAAGGAAGGGACATAACTTTGTAAAAAGCAACTCAAAGTTATGGTTCATGCCCATTATGTTTAATTATCACTAGGAACAAGTGTGTGAAGTTTCAACCAATCTCCTTCGGTTGTTTTGGAGACACAAAACTAGATCAAAGTGTTTTTACTAGGATCTAGGATAGGAACTGACAAGGTGTGGTAACAACTTACTTCAAAATCTTTTGATGCATGATAGAGTTATTGACTGGCCAAGATTTTCTAACTGCTGACCTTTGACAACACCTCTAAGTGTGACCTTGACCTTAGATTTTGTGATGACACAATCTCTCATCATGCTACACATTTATGTCAATCTGTTTCAAAATCTATTGATGCATAACAGAGTTATGGGCCTGACAAGATTTTCTAACTCCTGACCTTTGACCTCTAAGTGTGACCTAGACCTTGGAATCATGACAGAGTTATGGAATGAACAACATTTTGGTACACATATGTGCACAGATGGACAGGATAACACTATTATGCCCCTTGCCATTATTAGTATAAATCCATGCTATTAATTGAGCAGAGTTTATTTTAATTTGTTATAAATTGACTTTATAATAATTAGATAGATGCATGCAAATGATGATGAATTCATGAGCCTACTTACTAAAAATAAGATTTAAATTATTTTGTGCTATATCATGTTACAGTATAGTCTCAAGCCTTCCTGATAAATTACATAACTGATAGATAAATATCATACATTATTAAAAAAAAAAAATTACAATAAATTAACCTTTAATGATCTACTTAGCTTGTACATGTGTAATAGATGTGCCTTGCATTGAGTTTTGAACGATTTATTTAAAGCTGCACACCTCCAGATGACCCAAAATATTTCAAGAAAATGAAAATTGAGAAAAATCTACTAATATTTCAATAAGGGTAACAACAATCAAGATCAATATCAAAGTTTACATGTTATTTGCGATTTAGGACTGATTTTGTAGTATTTTATCACCATATTTCTACTGCCTTACTAACACAGTAAGGGCTTTTTTTTTTGCACATTTTGACATCTTTTTGGTTATTAACCTGGATTGTAAGTGCCAAGTGCAATATGTAAATAACTTTATTTGTTCACCTCGCACTATTTTACTGTCAAATACATTATCAAAATTTTCATGAAATTTAACTTGAATCTAGAGGCGTGCTTCTTTAAATGTCTTATAAAGTGCTAACATGAATAAATGTCGCTGAAACTGCTAAAACATATTTTTATTATTCTATATTTAGCACTGATTAACTCCTAATAGGTCCAAATTACATTTATTTGAATAAACTTAAGAACAGAAATACATGTATCCGAGGTTCCAAGTTACGGCATGATCCATAGCAATATAGTGTTTTATGCAGAGGAGTCACTTAATGGTATGTTATAACTTAAAATATATCTTTTTTGGCACTGAAAGCCTTTCAATAAGTGTGACACTATCTTGAAATCTTACAAGCCAGATTCAACATATATTTGTATGTAGCAATCTTTTCTATTCATTTATATGAAGAAAGAGTTGTGTTAAAGAATTCTTATTTAAGCTCAAATAACCCCTTTATAGTTTGAAACAAAATTATTCCTGAAAAGTGAAAGTTAGAAAAAGTAAAACTAACTAGATAAAAGACCATCTTTTTATGCTTCACATGATTTCATAATGATCCCTCCATTGGATCTTGAGAAAAAGTTGTTAGAAGGTTTTTACTGATATTTTTTGTTTTTTTTTTTTTTTTTTTTTTTGGTATATGTGACCAAGTGCAGAACAATTTATTCAGAGGGCTTATGGTCAGATTTCCAAAGATTATAAACATTCAAACAATATTTCTGATTATTAAAACCAGTCTAACAATAAAGCTCTACCATTGGTCAACTTTCAAATATAAATCAACCAATCAGAAGACAAGCAGGCTTCCATTAAGATTCAAAATTTGGAAGTCAAAGACTGCAAAATCTCTGATATTGGAAGTCACATAATATAGGTAAAGAATGAAAAGCAATCACAAGCCAACTTCAAGGAGTAAATGACTCCCAAAATCCCATTAACGGAAGCCCCAGACAAGAGTTCAAGACTGGTACACAATCTAAAACTATTTTACCTTTTTTCTACCATAAAAGCATGAAAACACTTACCACACTCCTAATTTTTTGGTAATGAGATCAGTATATTTATAACCACCACCTCCTGTAACTTTGATGCACCTCTCTGGCACAGGTTTCCCTAAGCCACTAGAATGATCTTGAATAAAATCAAGGCAGGTTTCTATAAATTTAGTCTCGAACTTGACAAAATGCAGCCGCACAATTGTCTCATCAGCATCCGATACTTGATATATCGGACCATCCTCCTGAAAAATAATTACAGATTATTATGTTGTAGTACCTTTCTGGCACTTTTTATTTTGCTAAGAGCAGTGTTGGAAAATTTAAATCTCGCAAGACCCAAGTGTAACATTTGTTGAATGGCTCCCTGTACTGTGCAATGACCTCATTACAAGAACAGTACCAATAATTATGTGAAACATGCAATATGTTTATCCTTTATAGAACAACACCTGTCAGTAACAACCACAAGCTTTGTCTCCCAAAGGGTGTCCCTTTGTAGAGGTTGTACTGTATTACACTTGATTTTGATATCCTTCTTAACGAAAAAGGTAAAAAGGTACCGCAGTATAAAACAAACAGTAAAGTTTGGAACTATTTAAGGGCTCAAACAATATAGCTTTTACATGAATGGCTGCACTTGACCACAGAGCTATTTCTACTTGTTTAATTATCAGTTCTTGGTAAAGAGATACCTGAATACTTCTGTAAACAATGTACTTAACAATGGGTATCCCCTTGTTGTTAAAACAATTTTGTGAAATAGCTTAAAATACTGCAGCCAATCAAAGGATAATGTATACAAATGGGCAGGTTCGAACAATACATTGTAAATCGTAAAGAAACTAGAAATGTGTCCATATGACACGGGTGCCCCCACCGCGCCACTGTTCTGTCAATCTTTTTACTAAGTCAAGGGAAATAACTCTACAAATATTTGATAAATCCACAAGCGAAACCCCAGGTGCAAATCTAAAATATGCTGAGCAACCTGCCCATAAGGTTTAATGACTATGTCAAATCCAAGTTGAAAATTGCAAAAAATTTCTAAGTGAAGGGCAATAACTCTAAAAATACTAAATAAATCCAGACGAAAATACCTGGTGCACAACTGCACATGCTGATCAATATTTCTGTAAAGTTACATGACTCTAGGTCAAATACTTTTTGAGTTACGTGCGACACATGTTGAAAATTGCAAAATTTTACTAAGTCAAGGGCAATAACTCTAAAAATACTAAAAATATCCAGATGAAAATACCCAGGTGCACAACTACATATGCTGATCAACATTCCTGTAAAGTTTCATGACTCTAGGTAAAATTCTTTTTGAGTTACGCGCGACACAAGTTGAAAATTGCAAAATTTTACTAAGTCAAGGGCAATAACTCTGAAAATACTAAAAATATCCAGACGAAAATACCCAGGTGCACAACTACACATGCTGATCAACATTCCTGTAAAGTTTCATGACTCTAGGTCAAAAACTTTTTGAGTTACATGCGACACAAGTTGAAAATTGCAAAATTTTACTAAGTCAAGGGCAATAACTCTGAAAATACTAAAAATATCCAGATGAAAATACCCAGGTGCACAACTACACATGCTGATCAACATTCCTGTAAAGTTTCATGACTCTAGGTCAAATACTTTTTGAGTTACATGCGACACAAAAGTGAACGGACGGACGGACGGACAAGGTTAAATCTAAATGCCCGCCACTAATGCGGGGGCACAAAAAGTTTGAAGTAACTGATTCTACCAATGTGACCACTGCAGACCAAGCATAAGGGGCACATATTATATTAACATCGCCTATTGTACATGTACATCTACTATACTGAAACAAATACAAGTAGACCAAAACAAAACACTTAACTAAAAATATTCCAACTTTAAAAATATACATACATTTATTTCTGTGTCATCAGAGACAAGGGAAGTTTTTCTCTGTACTGTGGCTGTGTATGCCAGTTTGGCCAGGGAACCACCTGTTGGAAAAATGTCAATCATGCAAAATTATAGAGATGTAATTTTGTATGCAGGTAATCGAAGCACCTTAACATCTATTTAAAAGCTTGAATCTGAAAAGCTCACAGCAGTCCCCTTTCTTAATCTTTTTTATTTAAACTTGATTTTTTTTTTTGGAAAAATGCATTATTTTAAAAAATCAAAATTGCCTCTCACACCTAAGAAAGCAAGCTCTTACAGAATATAGTAGGTTCTTACTCAGCTGCTCACTTGGGCCTGAAATAATTGAGGGTGGGGCACCAGAGATTTTACTCCGCCAGTAAAGCCGGAAAGTTGTCAAATGACCACCTATACTGTGTTGGTGCGAAATAAAACCCTACCAGAAAATAAAGTGACATAGAAATCTTACCAACCTACATCTATGGCAAATCTTCTGGCAGTTTGAAGGTTACGGAACACATTCTCATTAGGGAGGCAGATGCTCCTGGCATAGCTTTTCTCTGTCATTCTTACATCAAGTTTCTTTCACCTGAAATAATGACAAAATTAATTATCCACAACTGTACAATATTCATATAGAATATCAAATGCAACAGCCTTCATTTTTCTATTTTTTTTTTTCTTAATTTAAAAGTAACATTAAAAATAATCAGGCTAGTGCAAGCCAGAGTCATGCAAGTCACGGAGAAGGCACACAGCAGGTCATGGTCAAGTTCTCAAGTGCCAAAGACCTGTTGTGACTTACTCTGGAGGGTGACACTAACAAGGGTCGTTTTTGTAAGAAGGCCGTAGGAAAGCTGATGCCTTGGTAGAATTGTCCTCTTCTTTAACCACCAACAAGTGAAGAACAGGATTCAGGGAGATTCTGCATGAAAAGACGTCCCTGATGTGACAACAACAGCAGACTGGCAAGGATGCTATAATCTCGGACCTATGGTTATTCCAGCACAGAGTATAAACAAACTTAAACTACCACTATGTTATTCCAGCACAGAGTATAAACAAACTTAAACTACCACTATGTTATTCCAGCACAGAGTATTAACAAACTTAAACTACCACTATGTTATTCCAGCACAGAGTATAAACAAACTTAAACTACCACTATGTTATTCCAGCACAGAGTATAAACAAACTTAAACTACCACTATGTTATTCCAGCACAGAGTATAAACAAACTTAAACTACCACTATGTTATTCCAGCACAGAGTATAAACAAACTTAAACTACCACTATGTTATTCCAGCACAGAGTATAAACAAACTTAAACTACCACTATGTTATTCCAGCACAGAGTATAAACAAACTTAAACTACCACTATGTTATTCCAGCACAGAGTATAAACAAACTTAAACTACCACTATGTTATTCCAGCACAGAGTATAAACAAACTTAAACTACCACTATGTTATTCCAGCACAGAGTATAAACAAACTTAAACTACCACTATGTTATTCCAGCACAGAGTATAAACAAACTTAAACTACCACTATGTTATTCCAGCACAGAGTATAAACAAACTTAAACTACCACTATGTTATTCCAGCACAGAGTATAAACAAACTTAAACTACCACTATGTTATTCCAGCACAGAGTATAAACAAACTTAAACTACCACTATGTTATTCCAGCACAGAGTATAAACAAACTTAAACTACCACTACTATCAGGCTAGTCTGTAGAATATTGAGTGATCTGATGGATAAACACTGACAACAAACTGACAACATGTTGTTATAGTAAATGTATATTTATTATCATACAATAAAAAATGTGTTGTCAATGAAAAAAACATGCACATACTTAGGTACTGTTTTTACTGGCAATACTTTGTGCTCTGGATGAATATATATTGTCAATGTGTCAACTGACAGTTTTAGCTGGAAATAAACCACTGGAATCACATTGACATACATAAAACAGGAAACCCAACATGACTGTTATTAATATAATAATATGTGTTTTTATTTCCAGATTTCTTTATATGTTTGCCTTGAATCATTATTATTTCAATGTACTCTAATTGTTCAAGGACTGAAACTATGCACAAATTGATTTTACTGGTGGATCTTTTCCACAGGTAGGGGAAATTTAGGTCCTTCCAGTTAATTTGGAGGGGAAAAAACAAACAAATATAAAAACATAATATTAATTTATTTCAAAGTGCTGCAACTGCTCAAGGAATTGAGATAGAATCAAAGTTTGATTCTATCTCAATTCCTTGAGCAGTTGCAGCACTTTGAAATAAATTTTGATGGAAAAAATCAAGGCAAAATAGTGATTTTAGGCAATTTTGAGATGTCCCTTTGTTGCCATGGTAACAGGAAATTTAAGACTGAGCATGTCGTTACAAAGGAAATGGTCAACATTTATGCTAAGTTTGATTAGTATTGAAGCATTTTTCATAGTTTTATAGCAGTTTGAAATTGTAACAGATGGCTTTTCAGTGAAAACGGCCATTTTTCACAATATGCTCATGGGGGAAAGGGTTAAGCTGGTTAAAATTCATTAGCCGAGCGACCAATTTAATCAGCGACCAATTTAATCGTGTAAATACGTACTTATAAACTTTAACCTATACTTAAAGAATAATAATATTTATAAACAAATACCTAAATTCTTGTAGCAAGCATTTATCTAAAATACTGAAAAAAACTCCTGATTTATTACACATTAGTTCACAAAGACCAAGAGTGTTACCTATTCTAGATCATGTGATATTATAATTCATTAAATCACCTGAACATAATTCATCTCCTTAATGCAGTAACAAGTTAACTCCTATTGAATTTTAATGAGAGTTAAACCGTTACTGAACTAAAGTTACAAATTAGGTTGATTAAAAAAATTTAATTTATTATACCAACCTTTAGGAATGTTATAACACTGTACTTGCTACATCATTTATTAATCAAGCAAACCTTAATTATTAAAGACATTAAAGACTTATTTGACAGTTAAAAAATTTAACCTAAATTTTTAAAACTATCTTATCAAAATATGTGACGATATCAATAAATGCGTTCAAAATTTTTATCTTTAATTATTAAGTGCTACTATAATCCATGCTTCAAAATTTATTAAGTATTTTCTTTGTTTTAATAATATGTCCCTGAATAACTATAAATTAAAGTTCTTTTTTTTCAAGTGAAACTACAAACTACAGTAAACCAATAATTACTTCTTAATATGTACTATATCATTATTTATAATCCATTGTTTCATCAGGCAGTTTATTTCCTCCTTTTTTTATTATCTCCCTTGATTAAAAAACTTTATTCCATATACTGGTAAAATTATTTGACCTTACCAGTATTTTCATCCAATGAATTATAATAGTGAATTTCATCCAAAGCTTTTTATCTTTTTTACCCACATGATCTCTTTTACTCACATGCTTCAAAAGTCAGGTCCATTTGCTTGTTTTTAAAAATTATTGATGTCCTTTAAAAAGCTTGCAACTTTGTGTCCATATATGTGAGATAATTAAATTAATAATTTCATCCACAGAATTTTAAAAAAGATTTATTTCATTTTCATTCTTTAACGTCACTTATTTCATTTCCTCCATTGATATAGTGTTAACCATCATTAACATCAACGAAATGTGTTATAAAATATTGAAAACATTCCTTAAATCTTTAATATTTTTTTTTGTATTCCGAGTGCGCTGAAAATATTAAATAAAGGATGCATCACCGCACTGTCTTAAATTTCTCGTTAAATTCGTTGAAATATGACAGTGTCAATTGCTTAGCATGCAAAACAGTTGTAAATACTCAATTCATATCCAATGAAATACAATTGTTATTCACTAAAGCCGACCTTAAAATTTGAATTTAATTTAAATTTATTAGTTATTACTTAGTTGTTTACAATCAAATTTTCTAGACTTTGTTCTACAAAATGTTACACTTAATATGGTGAATGGTGAATCAACTCTTGGTGAAGAGGGGAATGGCCAGGGGAGGAATTAAAATATTATGTACCATAATTGTCACGCAACAGGAAACATTATGTGACATACTTTAAAGCAGCACACCTCAAGAGTTGTGTGTAAATTTTTACGAAAACTTGACCGATTGTTCTTATGTGTCAAGAGTACAAATTACGTGATTTTAATACTGTCCCTCAATTAATGGCAAATTGATGGTTTTATAGAAATAATTTCAAACTAGAAATGTGTCATCATGCCACGGATGCCCCCGCATGCAGCCAAAATTTCAGATGGTGCATTAATTATTTTTTTCATTTTAAGTTTCAATGTTAACACAAACCATTTTCATACAATGTTCAAGGCACTGAAATTATTCAGTCTTAACCTTTTTAAAAATAGCATATTGCATATTTGTAGCCAAAATAATGGCTAAAAGTATGAGTGCTGAAACTGAAAGTTCAAAATTTTTCCAACATTCAGGAAAGATAAGTTTTGTCTAAAATCATTGAACCACAACCAAATTCAAACTTAAACTGCTTATTCCTAAGATGTATCTATATTATTTTTCAAAGTGAAAGGATATAACTCTGCAAAAAAAATCATCAAACCATGACCAAATTCCAACTTGACCTGTCCATTCCTTTGACATATCCATATGTCAAATTTAAGTAGAATATGTAACACTGTTGGGTAGATAATGAACAGAAACTGAAAATTTCATATTATTTTCAAAGTGAAAGGGGCATTACTCTGCCAAAAATCATTGAACCATGACCAAATTCGAACTTGGTCTGGGCATTCCAAAAACATATCCATATGTCAAATTTGAGTTGAATGTGTTGTACTGTTGGGGAGATAATAAAAGGAAACTGAAAATTTCATATTACTTTCAAAGTGAAAGGGGCATAACTCTGCCAAAAATCATTGAACCATGACCAAATTTGAACTTGACCTGCGCTTTCTTTTGACGCATCCATATGTCAAGTTTTAGTTGAAGGTGTTGTACCGATGGGGAGATAATGAACGGAAACTGAAAATTTCATATTATTTTCAAAGTAAAAGGGGCATAACTCTGCCAAAAATCATCGAACCATGACCAAATTCGAACTTGACCTGTATTTTCTCATGACATATCCATATTTCAAGTTTGAGTTGAATGTGTTGTACCGTTGGGGAGATAATGAACGGAAACTGAAAAATTCATATTATTTTCAAAGTAAAAGGGGCATAACTCTGCCAAAAATCATCGAAGCATGACCAAATTCGAACTTGGCATGTATTTTCTCATGACATATCCATATGTCAAGTTTGAGTTGAATGTGTTGTACCGTTGGGGAGATAATGAACGGAAACTGAAATTTCATATTATTTTTAAAGTAAAAGGGGCATAACTCTGCCAAAAATCATTGAACCATGACCAAATTCGAACTTGGCCTGTATTTTGTCATGACATATCCATATGTCAAATTTGAGTTCAATGTGTGCAACCGTTCTTAAGATAATGAACGGAAACTGATGATGACGGAATGACAGAATGACGGAAGGATGGAAGGACGGAAGGATGGAAGGATGGAAGGACGGAATGACGG